AAATGAAAATGAGTTGTTTTCAGATTTGATGAAAAGCAGATATTATTTGTAATTTATTGCCAACCATTTATCAACAAACTTTATCCATAACTGTTGGCGCTTATGAATAATAAATTAAATTGGCAAGCTCAAAATATATCACCTCCCTTGGGCTTTCTACATGGCTGGATCAAGAAGGGTTAGATCATGTAGACATTATCTGTTATAATGATATTTCTGTTCATTCCTATTGGATTATGCAGGTCACATGATGAAAATTGCAGCATGGGAATGAGTTTTCTGTGTCTGACTATTATCTGTTGGAGTTAAACATATAAAGTGAATGTTTTTTCATGGAGAATTAATTAGCAACATGTGTTTTATTGAAGTAAAGTTTCATTGCTAATGTGTTTTAATTCGATAATGTCTTCTTTTTAAAATACCACATTGAAAGCTTGCCCACTTAGCTGACTGTCTGTCTGTCTTTCTCCCATCCCTCAAAATTTTACATAGTCTACAGACTTGACAATGTCTATCTACTGAACATTTCCATTTTAATGTCTAGTTGGTAGATCCTGTTAGACCTCTGATCGAGGTAGAAAAGTTCAGGTAAAAATGTGTGATAAGTGCTGTTTTTAAACAAAGTGCTAAAATTACAATGCCATTAGGATAGTCAAGATTTTTATGAAAGTGGGTGGTGTTTATGTGATAAATATGAGAGTGGTGATATCGCAACTTAATATTGCCATATGGAAAACACTGCCGATCATAAGTTTTTTTAAAGGATCTTAGATTTTTTCTTGCACCCATTAGTTTTTTGGCTTGTGTTTATTACACGGAATAGGTGTTCATTGTTAAGTATAAGTTTTCATCTCTTAAAAAGTTTTGATCTGAGGTTTCATTGATTAACGTTCGTACTGCATTTGGTTGAATTGTAAATCGCCCCAAGATTTTATTTTTAAACTGATTATTAATTTGTTTCCTTCCTTTATGATATTCTATTTTATAAACATATTTATTTTGATCATTTTTTCCTTAATTTGTTATTCACTTTTTAAAACCCTATGATAAAATCGTCTTTTCCAGTGAATGACAACTCTGTATTAAACAGCATACTTTCACGTTCGCTGAGCCTGGCAAATGATTTGAAATATAGCTGGTGATTGTGTACGAACATTCAGTAATAAATACTCCTCTATTCACCATCATAGTAGATATCTACAATGTTTTGTCCCAAATATATATTATACGAGCATCTCTATTGTATAGCATGGGAGTTACCATGTTAAAAAACTTAAAAAATGACAGCCCCTGAAAGAAAAGTCATCAGGGTCATAAGGGCTGTTGATGGGCTTTTGTTCAAAACTATGCAGCGTTTAATCACTAAGGAATTTGTTAAAAGTATCTATGTTGTCATATAGTCGTGTGTTACCATGGTGAAACAATACCGTACAAGTTATAGGTATTTCAGTAGCTTCTTCGTGTACCTCAGTACTTGGTCTCTGTTCCTTGTATGAGTGCAAAATGTCAAAGTGCTCTCTTATTTCTCTAAATGAATAAGTTGTTTTTAAATAGAACATTAATTTAATTTTATGTAATGTAGTGACTTTGGGAAACACCTATAAGGTATGGGAGGGGTTGATAATTGATATGAATATGACAATAAACTTTCTTTGACTAAACGCTTTTTAAAAAAAGTTGATGCTAGTGTACATTGTCAAAGATGAACTAATTTTATTGATAGTTTTATTTTATTTGATGTAGGAGTCATAATTCGCAAGATTATGAGATGTTTATATAATAAAGCTGTTGTCACACAGTCATTACATAACAAGGTTTTCTTTTAGTTAACATCTTGAGTATAACTGCACAACAAAGGTTTATACAGTAGAACCTGTATAAGTAGAACACCCTTGGAACCACAAAAAGTGTTCCACTTGCCAAGAATTCCATTTACAGAGGTTCATTAACATGGGGCCAGTGTACCACTTGTGAGATGTTCTACTTATAGAGGTGTTCCACTCAGCAGTTTCTACTGTATACCTAGTGTTATTATAGATCTAATGTACAACTTGAGAAACTTAACTATTCTTAGGTCTGAGACATTGGCTTTGGTCTAACTCCACCAATTCACCAATCACCATATAGCGTAGCTGTTAGCACCAATTTGACTTTTACCAGGTACTATTGATTTGCTGTAATAATACGATAGACTTTTTATCATAGCTTTTTTGTTTGCTTGAAGTTGTATCAAAATATAAATCGTTTTTCTCTATTCACCCTGTCACGTTATGTGCTAAATAACCGAAAGTTGTTTTTTAAATTGCCATTCTTTGTGAGATTTTAAATGTGACTTTCCATTAAAGATACTTGTTCACGAGCTATGAAATATCAATTTTGCAAATTGGTTTGCGAAGAGCTATTTTGTGGATCATTGTGACCTAAAATAATGTGGACTCTTTTGAATCTTTTAAATAATCATTTTTTCACATTCCTAGGTATCATCCTTTAAATAAGCCTCATATGCATTACAATTCGATGTATTTCACACAGGGATAAACTCCTTTGTGCCTTATCAGTGTTATATGGTCAAAACTGAAAATGATAGTTTTGAGAATTTGTTAACGTACCTTTCATCAAGTATTCGAAATACTGTTTAGTGGGTGGCCGAGTGACAACATTATAAATTATCAATTACACAACTGCATCTTCTAGAATTGCATTATCATGTTGCTTTCAAAAATATTCAAAAATGATTCTGGGTGTTCAGTATCACTATGGTAACAATGACTAGCATATACATCGGAAGATGATACAGTCTTTTGAATTTGTGAATTTATCTATATCTATTTGATATGTTTAGGATACAGTGATAAACTATAGATGACTGGCCACCAACATTTCAACAAATACTTAGTTTGAAAAATAGGTATAAATAATTTATTTTCAAAAAACCTCATTACAAAGAAGATGAAATAAATCGTATGAGCTATTTAGAAGTCATACACAAAAAAACCTCCTCATTTGTAATAACTATTTCTAGATTTTTCATTTTAGACTTTTTAAAGAATCATGTTATTAAGATTTTAATCAAACAATGGCACTATATTGCCCTCTTGTGTTGTTGGGGGGGGGTGTTTAAGTGGGCAGTTGGTACCACATAAAGCTTGTCATCAGTAATACAGGAAAACAATTCACCTGTTCAACTACACCTATATTTTATAGGGGGCACCATACACCTTTCAGTGGTGTCTCGCTCCCTTCATCAATTTTGTATTGTTTGTATGCACATATATTTAATAAATTGAAATTGAAAAACTTATAAAATTTTTACAGATATAATAGCAGACTTTATCCTGCATGCTGAGTCTTGTCATGCACTATACATGAAGCTTTCTTTTAGGAAACGTAAAAAGTCAGAACAATGCAAAGATTAAGCAGACTTGTACCAAGATCTGATAACGTTTCTGGAATGCCGGGTAGCCATTAATTGGTGGCCATTTTGAACTTTTTATTAAAAAAGTATGGACAACATGTTTTTTCTATTTACCAGTGAAAAAGTAATTTTAACATGGAGTGATTTCACAGCGGGCGAATTGCTGTTCTTACGCGTCAAATTGGTTCATGCTTTTCATTCCTTAGCTCGCAGATAGATGTCTCGCGCTATAAATATATTTTATATGACGTCAAATATATATTATATGACGGGAATGACGTCATACTATATTTTCGTCCAGTATGAAATAGCGCACCTAGTGAATGGCGCGTAGTTTAAAATTCTCGCCCGCTGTGTTTTGGTAAAAACATCCAAAGAATATTGCCTACTGTCTATGAAGCCCTGTTCATAGTTAAAGTAATGTCAGTTTGTTTTAGCATTAGATTTGCTGTATGTTATTAAGAATAGTGCTGATTTTATTGTTGGAAATTGGCAGGCTATTGATCCAAAACAAACCTTAGTACTTGCTGGTGAAATATTAATATTTAATGTTATTTGGAATGAAGCAATGCGTCATTAAGAAATACTGCACGGTAAGGAGAAGCCTCCAGAGATGCAAATTGGGCATATGAACAAGGTTTATGAGGTGTTCATTGTATAAAGGTGTTTACTGAACATAAAGGTGTTCTCTGTATGTAGGCATTTTGTGTATCGTGTTTACTAGATGTATGTGTTTGTGGTACGTAGGTGTTACTGAATGTAAATTAGTTGGCTTAGTCCAATTTTTATGGTCATATCATATCATTCAATAGTCTTTGATGCTCGGTTATAAAATGTTTTTCTCTGATGAACTTCATGAGTGTTTTTGAGTATGTTTTGTGTAAATGTTGGAAGGTAAATTATCATGATAAGATAAAAAACAGTTTCAGCTACAGTCCCAATAAAATGGGAACTTATCCCATAGAAACGAACAATAGAGACATTTTCTGAAGCTGTAGGTTATACTGTAATAGAGAATCATTGGAAAACAGTTAACACTGAACTCAGCATTAGTCTCATTACAGTCATGTATGTCTATGATAACCAACAACCGTGACATTTTCACTTTTTATTACTTCAATATTTTTACTCATGAAGTTATAAATAGTTCCCATGATCAATGCAGGGATATCCTTACCACTTACTCATGACATTTATCAGTAACTGCTTGAGGAAGTTGTTACAACGAAACAGGCTATTGTAGCTGATAATGTCATTTCACTTGATAACGTTTGAGGCCAGACATTTGGCTATATAGGTTCACATTACCTCCTGTTTATATCATTTGTTTTTAGGAAATAAAAGTTTCATGTTTCATATCGTGGAAATTTAATTGTTATCAGATGTTTTTTCAATTTCAATTATATTAAGACAAAACTCATCATTATCTATAATATATTCTCTTGATTATAGTCTTCATGTTTTGAACAGTGTTATTAGTCCTTACTTCAAACAATAATAACTACTAGTAGTTGATTAGTCTCTGTATTGTATAGCAGGACATTTTACCAAAATTCTAAATCTTATTGTTCTTGTATATTTGCAGCACTGGAAAGATGTATCAACACTGGCCAAAGATTTTATGGACAAACTTCTAATAGTAGATCCTAGTGATCGTATGAACTCATCCCAGGCCCTCAAGCACCCCTGGGTGACAACTCTAGCTGCATCATCTAGTAATAAGAATCTTCACCGCACAATCAGCCAGAATCTGCTACACAGACAATCAACAAGGGCCAATAGCACAAAAAGCGCCAAATCAACAAAATCGAACAAAAGCAACAAATCCAATAAATCTGCTCGATCATTACGGTCAGAGCATCGCCGTGTCATGCCTGAGGAGATTGAAGAGCTCCACCGTGATCCAGAGGTCCAGGCTGAGTTGTCTTCACTTCACTCCTCACATCACTCATGATCAACATGGGGTTGTTATCATCTACATGGGGTGACTCATGAAATATTTGTTGGTGGTTAAAACAATATGGCTGCTGATGCTTTAGTTGCTGGGTGACAATGGTTGCCAAATAACACTGGTTGCTAGGTGACAATAGTTTCTGAGTAACATTGTAGTTACTAAGTTCTACTTTTTACCACACATAATAATGGCAACAAGATGACTATATTTGCCAGTTAACTATATGTAAAACCAAAGCATTGCAAGCAATACCCTAAATAACTGATTAGTTTATTCAGAAACGAATCAGTTTATGTGCTAGAGACAAGTCAGTTTATGTGCTAGAGACAAGTCTATTATGTTCTAGTCATTGTGCTGACTATAAAAGGATGAAGGATCAGCAAATATGAGCATTGATAGAAATAACCATTGATCGATTGCGAAATGAAACGGTGTGTAACCAAGCAACAGCAGGTTACCATAGTGATGCAGCTTTATTCCCACTGGAGGGAAGTCTGATCTTAGTCATGCACATTTTGTATAAGACATTGACACCAGTTGTCATAATCTCGTAATGCTTCATTTTGACACATTTGGGAATCTCAGCTCAACTACTGAAGTTATATCTGACGTTCAAGGAAAATCCAGTTTTTATGTCACCACCAGAAGTGGTGACATATTGTTATCGTCTCTAACTTTTTATGTGGATGGTGTTTGGTGGTCTATAACAAATTGCAGGTGGTGACATTTTGCATGTTAATGCCTTGTGTGGGTTTGTACAGAGGCCTGCAAAGTCTGATAAAGCTCAGCTAATTCAAAAATATCCTTTTTGTTTGGAAAGTGTGCCTCTAAAATTGCTTTCCGTGGTATTTTTCTTTCTGAACTTTTTACGATCAAGTAAGAAATACATGTTTTATGGTTATGCATCATGATAAATTATATTCTGTATAAACGATGCTTCATGATCTTGAATGCAAGTTTCGACATATATTTTCATATGATTTGTGACCATGCATCATGATATACTCTGGCCATGCATCATGATATTTAAAGAGGAATTATTTAACACTGCTGTAAGACCTTTGATAATACTCAAGTCCCTATGTATGAGTCCCGATGTTATTCTGATCGAGTGGGTTTTAATCTGCAGAAATGCTATGTTCACCTCCCCTTACAACCTCTTACTCCTTCAGGAGAAACTCCACCTTGGAATAAAGTAGGGGGATAAACCAATTCAATGCAATACTTAAAGAGTTCACAAAACCTATGTCATTACCCACCATGCATGAAAAATGTCATGTGACTAAATCTACCTGTATGATTGGCTAGATTTGGTCACATGACCATATATTTGCTCTATATGGGCAGTGTGAAAAATTTCTGCAGATCAGACCAATCATGTTTGAATTGTATGTACTAAAACATATGGAATGCCAATTTTACATCATGTTGAAAAGAATGTGTGTTTTATACAGGGACGGTTGTTAATTGATTGTTCTATACATACATGTATCATTCTTTTACCTGTACATATTGTATAAAGTATAGAACCTATTATTGTTAAATTAAATGTATGCCTCCTTAATGTATATGAAATATTTAGCATGTTATATGAAGTAACCATATACAGATATATAGAAATAGCAACAGTCATCTTGGGACAAATTGTAAATTATAAATAGCAATTTTGCTCGATTGTCTTTATCAAAATACTGTTTATTGATAAGCTATATGGCAATAACAACATTTTAGCGATGTACATGAGAGATATGTGTGAAAATATCAATAAGTTTGAAATGTAATTTGAAAATATGAAATTTTTGCGTTCCCATAAAATCATTATTTCAATAACAGCTGTTCTCAAATTAGATGTTGCTGTGATTAAAAAGTAAAATTTGACATTTTTAGTATTGTTTCAAGAGAGAATGACTCCCATAATGCATTGTGTTACATAGATTATTTTATCATTCACAGTTCCAGCGAATGTTTAGAACTCTGGGGTATGCCAGTATCCCTCAATTTGCCAGTGTTATAGGTGCAGCTGACTTAAATTAACCGTTGCAATATGCATTTATTGTTAGAACTTTTTTAATTACATTTTACTGTTTTTAATATGCACAGTGGTCTTTAAACCATCCTTTATTTGAAGATTAAACAGTGATACCCGTGAAATTTCATCTTGAGTGTTATTTTAGTTTTTTAATGCTTAGATGACCACTCCATTTAATTCTCTTACACTGACCTATTTTTATTGGTTGATTATTTCCCCGAGTCTGTACAATAGACCATGAACCATACAAATTCTTAGTACATGATAAGATGGAGTGGTTAACATGATTTGTAACAGTGCCTTTTATGAAACAAACCTGCCATTTTATTAAAACGTTAAACTGTTGTATTTCCTCAATCCTGATTGTGATAAAAATACTGGAGATACAATGTCACGCATGATTAAATTTCAAAATTATTTTATGTCAATACATTCTCATGTAAAAACAGATGGAGAATTCAAAAAGGTTATAATTCAATAAGGTGATAATTCAAAAAGGTAATAAATTCATATGGTAATAATTCAAAAAGGTAATAAATTCAAATGGTAATTATTCAAAAAGGTAATAACAAAAACTGAGTTACTGTAAAAGATCTTTCCTCAGGTCAATAATGTGAACTGAAAATACCAAGACTTAAAAACATGATTTTACATGTTGTTCTATTTTTATGCAAACCAGTTGAAAAAAGGTTTCTATTTTTGTAGGAATATAGTATATGTTACACAAATATCTAATAGTTTTCACAACTGAATGTGCAAGCCCATGTGAATGTATCATATAAGCAGATGTGAACATATATATGAATATGTGAATGTATTATATGTGCAGATGTGAACATACATATGAATATGTGAAAATATATATATGAATATGAGAGCATATATATGAATATGTGAACATATATATGAATATGTGAAAATATATATGAACATGTGAACATATATATGAATATGTGAAAATATATATGAACATATATCTAGACATATGTACGAAGATCTGAACTAATGAAGAGGTGAATTTAAATGAAGTTGTGAACATTTTGAAAATGTTGATACATTACATTTCGTAGCTTTAAAAATTTAGATATACCACCAATGTAACATATGTAACAGTTGCCATGGTTACAAAGGTGAAGCTATTGTTACATTTGTTACTTTGGTGAAAGAAAAATATGAAGGAGTAAATATATCATGAATATGTACTTAATCTGAGTGAAATTATTTAAAAATGGAGTGCATTAATGTATATCAAAAAATACTCGCACATATACAAGTGGTGAGACTCCGTTTACAAGTATATTACTACTTAAAACTACTGAGCTGAAATTGTGAAATTGGTCATGATAAAAATAATGGAGTATCAATTACCTGGAATCTGTTGATCAAGAATTTTGTTTATTTTCCTTTATTCCTTGCTAATTTCTCTCTACATTGCAATACATAACATGACCTTTGGGACACTTAAAGCTCAGTATTTCACATCTGATGGATGAATACATTTCTTTAGTATATAGTAGTGCAGTGGCATATCTGTGCTATATAGTAGTGCAGTGGCATATCTGTGCTATATAGTAGTGCAGTGGCATATCTGTGCTATATAGTAGTGCAGTGGCATATCTGTGCTATATAGTAGTGCAGTGGCATATCTGTGCTATATAGTAGTGCAGTGGCATATCTGAGCTATATAGTAGTGCAGTGGCATATCTGTGCTATATAGTAGTGCAGTGGCATATCTGTGCTATATAGTAGTGCAGTGGCATATCTGTGCTATATAGTAGTGCAGTGGCATATCTGTGCTATATAGTAGTGCAGTGGCATATCTGTGCTGTAGAAACAGTAGCTATCATGTATCATATAGTAGCAGGTACACTGTGAAGATAATCTATTAAAGTTTTGAAATTTATATTGACTTGTTTGTTCTTATATCTGAAACTTTAAAGTCCCCATATAAAGTTTAAACCACTTTTGATCATATTGTAGTCTTACCCAATGTTATCATCGTGTGAAACTTTTTTTTTATTTATTTTCAAAAAGTGTTTTTTGAAGACTTAATCATGATTCATGAAAAATCATGATTTTTTAAAACTAACTTTTAGAGGTGACACATATCTTTTAATAAGGGACAATTCATGCCAATGCAGAGCATTCGTCCTCACATGTTTTTTTGCTGAAAAAATAAAGAAAAACGGTTCATAAATAAGCGAGAAATGAACTCATCAATGTATGAAAATAGTTCAGAGAAAAATGCATTTCAAAATTTTAGTTCTCATAGAAACTAATTGTACAATAGTATCGAAAACAATATATTCTTCCTTTTAACCTGGTCAGACAATCAACATTGGTTTATTTTTGAAGTTAAGCATATTTAGAAAAGATTGACAAAGAAAAAAAAATGTCAATTTTTTTCAAAAAGTGTTTTGTCACCTGAATGAGTCAGTGGCATCACTTAAGTTGCAAATTATTTTTGATATGCTAAAACATTGAAGTGGCCCATTAAATAAGGCATTTTATTATAGAAATAGTGTTTCCTTTGTTCAAGGTAGAGATTAAAAGGTGGATTGGATCGAGTGGATTGGATTCATGTAAAAGGTGGATTGGATTGGGAATCTTCAAAATATGGATTTTTTAGTTGATCTCCCTCTAAGCAATTTCCTCCGGCCTAAAGTATTTTGTGATTATTTGGGTCCCTTTAAGGAATTGACAAAGCAATGACAAATACATACTTCAATTAGTTGATAGATACTCTAAAGCATTTAACTGCTCTCCCTTGTAAATCAACATTAGTAAGACATAATAAACATAGATCGGTAGATAAAAGCTGTCATTCAAATTGACGTGTGGGTGTTCCCAAGACATTCTGCCATGTTCTGTTTGAATTTAAAACAGATGATATGGATCTTCGACTTGAAAAGTCTGCCTTATGATTTGTGAAATGTCTAAAATTACCCTTGGAATGAATAAGATTGTGTATCAGGTCACCTTTCTAGTCTACCCAAGCAAAATGATATAACATCTATTATTTGACATTGTGGAAGTGAGAAGAGCATTAATGGTCTGATGGGAGATCAATATAATTTTTTTAAGGAAAATCCATATTTTGAAGAATCCCAATCCAATCCACCTTTTACATGAATCCAATCCACTCGATCCAATCCACCTTTTAATCTTTACCTTGTTCAATGTTTGCATTGGTGTTAAAAAGATCATATTTTGAATATTTGATGATTAAAAAATTTCAACTTTTTTGAAAAAATGGCGGGAAATCTGAATATTTGCGAAATGAAAAGCTGACAATTTTTTCAAAAAAATTGTTGTTTTCAAAAATCTCTAAAATAACTTTAAGTCATAAGAAGCAGTAAATGAATGATAAAAACATATTTTCAAACTTTACACAGGGACTTTAACACATTCCCTCTATTGAAGTTTATATATTCACTCAAAACAATTAATTTTTCATCATATTTATTATCATATAAAAATACTTTGAGTTTGAAGTGAATTTCCAGTCACTCACCATGATACAGATATAATTGCTAATAACCTACAATGTGTTACAAAATAATTTCAAAATGTCCAAACTCAAAATAAAATGAATGATCCTATTTAGCTGAACTCACTTTAAATCACTAAAAATACACCAACTCTTGCAAGGCCAGGGGATGTACTATTTATTAAGAGAAATGGCATAGTACCAAAGAAAATACTTCAAAGTATGTAAGATACTTTAGTGGAAGATTACATCATAGTAAATGGTGGGACACTAAAACATTGTATCTGAACTGTTCATTATATGACATGTCCATCAATCCAGGTTTTACTGTAACAATGTCCTTAACATTGCATGGCATCCTTAAACACAAGTCGCGTTGTCCCACACATGCGGTAGATAAAGAGTGGATAACTAGAGTGTAGAGTGTGTGCATGACTTCCAAGTCTCCAATATCATTGAAATATTGAGAATTAAAAAAATGAAAGTGCAATGTACAAACTACTATTCACAGCGTAATCTTCCTCTAATGAAAGTTCTACAATATTGTATTCAAAGTGAATGTCCCATTGTCAATTGGTTATGTCACCTTAATCCACTTAAATGGTACAGCCTATACATCAATAGTACATTGTCATCTTAGATCACTGGTATATCGTTTGATCATAATTGCTTCCAAATTGTAACTTCCAAGACGAAGGTTGCCTCCATAGAGATTCTTTCTTCTGAAACAAAGTGGAAGTTGATTTTTTTAGTTTTTAGTACAAATACAGTAAAACATCTGTATATTGAACATTTTTGCTAAAAAACGTTCAGTTTTGGTAGGTGTTCACTACAGAGAGGGTAATTCATACAGAAGTCAGGAGAGTGTGAGGAGGAAGGGTGTTCACGAGAGAGGTGTTCACTAAGACAGGTTTTACTACACAAAGCAAATATTCCCTTACAAATGCAAATGTTAACCGGATCCTTCAATTATGAAGAGGTAAAACCAGTCAGATATTTTTTCAAATCAATCAACTAGTATCAGAGTATAACAGGGATATAATCAATTCACTTTTTCTCCGAGTAACACCAGGATGTATATAACAAGCGAGAAATATAATTTTTAATTTTAGTTTCATACATGCATTTAAATTCTCTTTTATGATCACATGTTTTCAAGTACAACTGCATATCTTATTTCACTTATTGATTTTATCTATTAGGATCTGAATTCAGATATCAAAATTCATTATTATTTGAATGTCTGCCCTTTAAATGATGAAATGTTGATCCAAGGTAAAAGAAAACAAGTAACATACAGTTGGATTGCCACCTGTTTGCACGCAGAATTTAAAATCAATGTCACCTCTAATATTTTTAGTCAATTTCCCCTGTGTATGTAACATTGGAGAAAGGGAAAGTTCGGTTATTGTGAATTTAAATATCCAGTCTTCATGCTACTTTCAAAATGAAACACTTGATAAAAATTATCATTGAATGTGAAACTTTGTCGTACATGAAATAATACTGAGAAAAATTGTCTAGATATTGCCAAAAATCTGAACAAACATATGTTTATAAGTGTCAAGTCAATCTGAGTAATATGCTTCACAATTTATTAATATATTAATGCATGTTAAATCTTAAAGTCAATCTGAGCATAACAAGTCAAGTTACAACTCCGTAACAAACATGTTATAGATGGCAGTGCCTAACTTTGCTGCCAGATAGCTAAAAAGTTGAGGACATAATAAATTCACTACTTCTTGGTGGTGAAATTACAAAGTTATTTCAAGTTTTTTTTGCTAAAATAAGCAATTAATGGACCACCCTGCAATTCAAAATAGAAAAATAGAAACAGATTAAGAAGACCAATGTTTTGTATCAAAAAACAATCAGAATTGTGTGATTCCATCTTCACTATATGCAGTATATCCCAAAATATTAATCTTAAAGAAGTACATGTAATTACAAATATCCGGGCTCTCACCAGGAAATATTTAGGGTGTGGTGCTAACATCTTCAGAATAACCGTTCAGTCATGATAAATCATATTTATGTTATGTTTTATCCTTTTTACATCCTATTATTATATATTCAGTCAAGTTTAGACTGTGGAAACAGTCATAATTTGCCAATAGGGTGTGGAGGGAGCTAAATAGAGTGTATTGCTGCGCAAGTCTAAAAGCCTGGCGAGAGCCCTGAATACAGTCTGAGCAATAAATAATTAGTCATGCATTTGCTGAAGTGAGAATTTCCCATGTTAAAAATTTGAGAATTTTCAAGAGGCCATACATCAGTGGATGAGAGTACAAAATGTAAATATAAAAATTTTAGAGGATATATATCAAGACAATATTGGAAACTATGGGCTTTCAAACCACCGTGGTTTGGAATTGGTGATAGAAAATTGACTACTCATTTATTTGATTGCTCAAACTGTACCAGTCAAAACTGACCTCCAAATTGACACCAGTTATAATAAATTAATCTAAAAGTACAAGTGAATGTGAGAACTGTTGCACATGTTGGTTATGAAAACATAGCCCTCTTCAATACCGGATATTGTTGATAAATCAGGTTTGAACTTGAAACACATTATGTCAGAGAAGTTTGCCATGACAATGTAATCTATACCCACACTACTTGACCAATCATTTCAGCTATTGAAAAAACTTAGAGAAATGGTTTATAAGATTTAGATCTTTCGCTGCAGCAAGAGACCTAGTGACTGGGAATGTAACTGATTGGTAGGAAGTAGGTGTGCCATGTTTGGCCACCCATAGATATGATTGTTGCGAATGGGGTATTTAAGATTCATGGGATAGGGCAATCCTCCTTTTATGTTATGTGAGATTTATGACCAATCATTAGCTGCTGAAAATAGCCATGTGTTTCAAAAGCGTTATCATCCTTCCTGAGTTTTGATAATTAAATTCATTTACAAATTGAGGCATTTGAATTAATATAACACTCAACATACAGTTATACTAATAGGTGGCAGCACCTTACAAGCACTAAATCAGAGACTTAAATCAGTTCATTACATGCACAGATTGTGAATTTTCACCTTCAAATTGTGATCAAATGCTTCACTTGGACCAGTACCAAAACAGACAATGGAAATCAAACTTCTAACTTAATTTTCTAAGTACAGTCCAAAGAGATTGACTAAAAGAGAGAGAATGACAAATATTTCGGGCAAACTTGTCTTTTATAATAGTACAATAACGTCATTTCTAAGGGCAATATAGTGAAATATTGGACCGAGGGCTGAAGGCCCATATATTGAAACATTGGACCGAGGGCCGGAGGCCCAAGGTCCAATATTTCACTATATTGCTCGCAGAAATGACGTCATTAGTATTATTACCACCGTTAACGACCAGGACAGCAAGAAAATCTTACGCATTGAACGGTATCTAATTTCCCGGGGAAAATTGCCGGTCCAGAATATATTCTAGACCTGTCCATATGGACCACCACTATGACGTCACACATTTCTCAGGTCGATATAGTAAAATGAACGCCTTCTAAACTAGCACTAAAACCCCTTGAACTGGCCCGGCAAGGTTGTAATAATATGGTATATTGACTATTATTTCACAGTCAGGTTTCTCTTTTTGTGATTGGTTGAACATGTGCTTCATGACATCAAATGTTACGTGATTTTTTTTATGATGCTTACAATCGCAAATGTTGCCATTTTTGAGCCAATGAAAGGTGTATCCGAAACTAGGTTAATTTGTGACAACGAAGGGTTAAGTTTTGATTTCATCAGTGTTTTTATTTTTTAGAAAATTCAGGTGCAAGGTGAATCATTATTTCATTATATGGCAGGAAGTGTGTGTGGGGGGCGGGGGGTAAACCATAATGAAATTAACATTGTTTTTCAACAACGTCAGCTGTTGTAACTCATGAGAATTGTTGGTAGCTACACCACTAGTAACTATCCCTAAGCAAAAGCATTTACATGTTACTCTAGAATTTGGTAATGAAACATAGCTGACATAGTCAATACAAACAGAAAAATTCAAGTTCTGTTGTGTTGTGTTACCTTTTTAGTGACCCACTGAAACCAAGAGTTTATATAAGTGGCGACATCTATTCCATCCGCCACATTGTCACCCTCGGAGCAAAACTTTGAACATAGCAAAGTAGGGATTTTCTCCTTACAGCTGAAACATACAAATTCACATGTAAAATATCCATGAATTATATCAAGTCTCTCCATCACAGCACATGTGAGCTCCTAATTTTACAACAATTCAACCCCTCCCCTACTCCCTATTCTCCATTTTGATTGCCATCATATCATAGGAAGAGAATATGGAGAAGGGTGTGCTATTGCAACTTATGCTTTCAGCTAATCAATGGGATCAGTTGAATAGAATCATTAACTGTGCAACCGTCTTTTCCTGGGATATTTCCTGTTAAAACACAAAATGCAATTGTGAAGAAATGCTAAAGCAACATACCAGAACTACCAATTTTGCATTAATTTTCAAATAAAGTTAGTGAAAAATGATGCAACGGTGTTCACTTATTGGACACTATAGAATAAACATGACTATCCCTAGTGATAACATCTTCTGTAACATCTTTAAAATCTAACCACATGAAAAGAACCATGATATGAAAAGGACGATTCTCGTTTTGGAGAACAGTCTCCTGGGCTAATAATTTTTTCATGAAAAATATAGAAATATTACCCAAATTAAACTATGAATATTCAAAAGAGGACATTTATATCTACAAGATGTAAAAATAACAAATTGGTCTGAAGCAGGGATAACGCTCAATTAGACCGATTTAATAAAATACAAGTCTCAATTTGGGGAAAGAAGTTCATCAGTGTACTGCGCTAATATTTTTTTGCAAGAAATCTAGAAATATTACCCAAATTAAATTATAACTATTCAAAAGAAGACATTCAAATCTATATTATGTAAAAATATCAAATATGTCCGAGGCAGGGATAATGCTCATTTAGATTGATGAACTTCGTTCTCCAAACCGAGAATCGTCCTTTCTGAAAAAATCATTTTTGGATTTTGAGTTTTTTAAAATAGCATGTTCCAATGTATTTAATTCCGTGAATCTTACCAATCATTGTAGAGTTTCAAACCAATACCCCCTCCTGGAATTTTTATTTCCATTTGTGTCTCTTTGTCAGTATTCCCCATAACACCTTGTGGATCAACAGGTTGTTTCTCCATCTCTTGCCAATTTAATGTCTTCAATATGCTTTCACCACCTTTCTCATACAGTTGCGGAGATATCAAGTAGCGGAGCAGTGTTCTAGCAATTGAACACAAATTAAAAGATCAGTACATGAACTTAACTTTTGATCAAATGAACAAACTGGCTTGTATATGTAAAGTAAAACCTGTCTAAGTGAAACACCTTTGGTATCTCCAAAAAGTGTTCTACTTGGGAGTTGTTCCACTTATAGAGGTTCATTTAACATTAAGTCAGTTGGTCTTGGGGCTCTGAAAAGTCTTCCACTAACAGAGGCCTTCTACCTCTTGAGCTGTTCCACTTTACAGGTTTCACTGTACCTCTATATTATATATCCGATCAACAATAACACCAGCTTTTGATATTGGATATAACATCATTGGATATAACATCTTTATTGAAATGTGAGAGGGATGGTATACAAATATGTCATACAACTGAGGTGAATACCTGTTCATTTTTCAATGATTCTAGCAAGTTGTATTTCCTGAAGCCTGAAGGGCCAGGGGAATACACCTTGCAGAATCATTGAAAGTACAACAGGTATTCACCGAAAATAGTTTGAAATATTTGTTTTATTATTCACTGTTATATTTCCCATTCTCTTCTTCAGAATGACTTATAAGAACAAGAATGATTTACTTTTGTCTGTCCTTTTTTCGTATTACTATGCCATTGATTTTAGATTAACACTGAACGAAAAAAACAGCTTGTGAATGAGCTCATTGACATACACCTTTTTACTGATGTCACAGTGCTTGGCCTATGAACAAGCCACCTAATATGTTTGGTCATAAGTATGGTATAGACCAATAAGAGAGAGGGGAATATGACAGTGATATAATAATTTAATATATTGACTTACAGTTAAGCTGTTTTTTGTTTTATAACTTGCTAAGAATTTATTTGGGTTTATACTATAATTGTAGGCATGACTACTGGTCACTATGGCAATACAAGGTTTTATATATCTTACCCTCCCTGTATTTGCATGTCCATCATCATGTATGCATGACTACTGGTTGCTATGACAACCCGATTTAACCCACGGTCTTTAATCCATCTCACAAGACGTTCTCGGAAAGCACCAGCTTTCCCCTGAAGAGATATTTTCAAGTAAAATTGATGATCATGATTCACAATTTTACAAATTTGTAAGATTTATAAGTGAAAAATATTTCAACAGAAGTGCAACTGTATGTCACTGTTATGAAAACTAAAATTTTGGGATGATTCGCTGATTTTTGTTTTCAGATTGTTTGTATTAACTAAACACATGTATCTTACCTTTACAAATGGTGCTCTTTGTTGAATAGCCACTACTTTATGGACCACTGACATATACACTGAAAATGAGATCATTTTGCATATAGATCATGTGTTTCTTCTCTTCAATATTTTGCTATATATCACAATGTACAATACTATTTGCATGATGTTGATGTTAATGTTGTATTGTATTTTTCTTTTAAAACGATCATTTGAGGAAACAAAGGAGAAATATAGAAAAGGGGGACAACACCTTGTTCATCTCAGATTTTTCTGGTTTTTGGAACGATTTTGTCAATGCAGTTTTAGACAATTTCAGATACCTGTGTAAAATTCTTTTTAAATTTATTCTTTACTCTACAATGTAATTTCTCTTCTCTGAATGCCTTTTAATTACTTTGGTTGGAAATGAAAAATTGACAGACTAAGGAAGAAGTTGGATTGTTTCTCTATATCCCTACAGTACTTAAATCTTGTTCTGTGGGAAAATAAATGGCATTTGGCATTTTTAGGTATTTTTGAACAAAATAAACACAGCACTTGCATGCTTTGAGGATAGGCTGGATAGTGGATTTAAAGTAATTTTGAACTGATTATCATTTTTCTTCTTCTTGAGAGCTGATCTAACGATAAAAAGAATTAGAAAAGTGAATATTTTAGAAGTGATATTGATATTGTAATACTATATACACCGGCAGATTTTTTTTCTGGTCATAAATGGGCCTTCCATGGCCCCTGCCCCCCCCCCTTGGGTGGGCCCAGAAAAAAAAATTGGGCCCAAAAAAAAGTTTGAGCCAAAAAAGGCCTTAAGGCTCCAAAAAGTGGGCCTTTTTGGTCATAAATGGGCCTTCCATGGCCTTATTTTTTAATTTTAGTCCAAATTTTGAAGAAAATGGGAAGGAAGTTTTTTTCTCGGACCAGAAGTTTGGCCCCCCCCCCCTTGTTGGTTCCCAGAGCCGCCCCTGATATAGACAATATGAAAGTTACCTTCACAGCTAACAGACAAGTTGCAGAGGTTTCCTGTGGTACCAGAAGCAAAGGGGTCATTGCCGACAAGTGGTAAAATTGACTCATCATCCATATACCCAATCTTCTTCATACAAAGAGTTGAGATGATCAAATCAACTGCTAGTTGGCCAACATTCCCTACTGATACGCATGGCTGGAAAAAATGAATACAGGTAAAATCATAAGCAATTCACAGTGGGTTTACGAAAAACACCCACCCCGACTGTCAGCTGTCAATTTTTCACATAAAGATGAAAAGATTCAAAATTAGAAGAAAGTAAAACTTAAACTGGGAATCCAATCACTATAGTATACTTTAACAAGGTCGTGATTTAAAAATGTATTTAATATTTCAAATCACGATGATTCTGGCGATGCATCAATGTCTGAAACAAAACATCGATGTTTTTAAAAAAAATTTATTTGCTAAAAATCACCCTTTCTTATCTCATTTTGACTCAAATCGCTTACCTTTCTCATGTCTTATTTCATTTTCCAATGTTTTCTGATATTCTTTCGCTTTTAAACTGTTTTAGCTAGTCGAAATGAACCATTAAATTACTTTACTTTCATTTCACCGTCACTAGAAGTTCCCGGGTGTACCAGCGTACTCTTATTAATTTGTTCTGTTCGGTTAGTGCGTTAGCGTTCGGTATTCCAGTGCACTTTTCTTGGACTTTTTCAGAAAGCTTTTCCCGATGTACATCACGATGTGCATCGATGTTTACTACTGAAAATTGCTGATGCATCGATGTACGATTATGGCACATCGCGACAACACAAGTGTAATGTCATATTTTTAAGTGATAACTCAGCTGTTAGAATACCAATTTCATTCTGGTCAGTCACTTTGGATTATAATAAGAAAACGCACGTAACATTGCATTAGTTCATTAACATAAAACGCAATAACGAAAACACACTTAACATTGTCGGTGTTCAGATCGTAACGTAATGTTTGATTTCTCAGTTGGCAAACGTCAACTGGTAAAAACTACGATCAATATGACAAAAAAGCTTTCTAGCGTACTGAAAGTGTTAGTCACTTTTAATCCCGATAAGAGAATACACGTAACATTACATCGTGTTCAGACTTCAGTAGGCTATGACAATATATAGATTTCAGTAAAAAATTAGGATAGATTCCCATAGAAACGATAGGTTGGTTAATGGTAGGCCAGGAACCTAAGGCAGGACAATTAAATCGAGAGGAGACGGGCATGCTCAATTTGTTTGCTTACCTTCCGTTGAAAGGAACAAAATCGGTAAAAGAAATTGCCATGAATGACATTCAAAATCGAATTATTAATATTTTAAGGCTACAAATTTGGTCGATCTTTTACATGTGGTCAGTCTTTTATACAGGATATAGTCCTGAGTAAGGACATTAGCGGTTACCGTTAGTGATTTGGTTTTCTGAATAAAAAGTCATTTTCTCCTTCCCTACCCCATTGGAGTGCCATCTGGCGTTTGGGAAGTGAATCGGGACTAAATATTTATAGGGTAGGTCCTAATTTATCTGAAAACATGTCAGAGTTCAGTGGGAAATCTCATTTTAAGCTGGCGGCGGAGTGATTTTGACCTTGGTGATTTTACCAGAATTCTCTGAGAAATCTGATGATAGAGGGGGTTAGTGTCTTCAAGTTTATTTATTTCAAAAATTCGGTGGACAACCCATGGTAAGATTGTTATAGCAGGCTAGGCGAGTCTCTCCCGAACACTGTGGTATGTTGCACTAGGCTTGGTAGTTCAACGTCGTTAAACTCAATAACGGCGTTCTTTACTATTAGGAATTTTCTTGGGGCCGTTATTGAGTTTAACCTCTTTACTATTCTTTCCTTTGATGCAAGTTCTGGATCCATCAAAACCATTTTGCCGCGATAAAATGCAATTGATACTTGACAATAATATAAAAACACATAACATCAAGCGATTTAACACAATATTATTGTGTTAAATGTTTATTTATACTCGTAAAATGAGGCTACACTTAACGATCTCTAAAATGACATTTCCGCATGTCCGTCATTGTGTCTGTTCGTCCAAGGGTCCCGAATCGTAAAATTAAACTACTAGCGAAACGAAATTGTTGTCAAATAGATTGATAATTATTATCACGATTACTCGCATTAAAAGATAAATTTTGAGGATAACAGGTATCTTTGATTGATTTATATAGCGTGTGTATACACGCAAAATAGTTATTAATTGCAAACCTACTGTTTGTAAATGCAGTGCCGCGATGACAGTTAATTTCAGATACGATTTGCAATTTCGATGTTACCTAAACTGACCGACATTTCGTTATATTCCAAACCTGTCTCCAATATTTTCGTAATAATGCATCAATAGGGTCTAAGGGGGATACGGGATGGTGTGTATGTATTCATAAGGTATGTATGCATGCTTGAATCACATTCTTTGTGTAATATTACCATGGTTTCAGGGTTTAATTAGTTCCGCTTGTCGAAACCTGCGGAACGATTAAATTAACGCATCAAGGGCTAAATGATCATGGAGGTTAGACCTAGCCGGGGCCATAAGACATGTCAGATAAGAAACGAGGCCCAGGCTAGGTCTAATGTTGTTGGACTATAGGCTTGGATACTAATCGTTAATAAGATACAGGGTAAAATGTTATAATGGCCACTTAGGGAAACTCTACTGTGGTCTTCAACCACATTTTCTTCACACCCTGTTTTGAGGCTACCAGTGGAAAACACCGACCGGTTGGTGGGGTCGGTCTTTTCCGTAAACCACTTTGCAGTGGAACATTTGAAAAATGCTTTTTTGGGAAGCTCTGCATGTTATACTATCATTGGAGTTTTTCATTGATAAATCTAAATCCAAATGATACAGGAAAATGTTTTGTTTACTCATGCTTACTCTATTATCGCCCATCTATTTTTATGATGTGATATAAATAAGACAAATAACGACGGTTTGATAACTCACCACAACCAGAGTATAAGCTTTAAGGTCTGGAGATGTCTTTTCGCAACTGATAAACATCGTTAGCTAGTAAACTGTTTTTATTTAGGAAACGTTTGTAATTTTTAGAAAATGTCAATATTTGTTTCGAGTTTCTAAGTATGTCAGCAAACAGAAATAGGAAAATAATTATCATTAATAAATGCCTTTTTGAATACTTATATACGCAGAAAAATAGTAAAATATACAATAAAAAATAGCAAGCAAACATTTTGTGAAAGATACAAGTCCAATGATAGCATTTCATAAGCTCTATCTATTTTTCATGATATTATGTTTGCTTCCATACTTAGAAATTAAAATCCGGAAGTAAGAATTTGATTTTGAAAATGAATGAAGATGTGAAGGATTTGCTCTCATTCACTCAACAGATGCTGCTTCTCTTATTATATGTCGGGTCAACACTTGGGAAACCTCAAAGGTAAGCTATGGGATACTCTCTCTTTATCCCGTTCCCGGACTATGGTCCTGTGAACATCTCAATCTTTTGCCTTGTTTGTTCACGTTCGCAAATGTAATGCAGCATATTTTTAAAACTCTAAAAAAATCTGGATATAAGTTGTTTTTATACGTTCTTTTAGTCAGCAGCGAAGCTTTTAAACAAATGCGTCTTGTATACGAGTATATCAAGGCTCTATAAACAGACTTTTTATATATCTAATCGTCTTGTGAGACCAGAGAAACTGTTTTACAATACACTTCCGGTGAAAAAGTGAAAAATTATTATGAATGGAAACAGCACATTTGTCATTGTCATTGCTGGAATACTATGCAATTGGATCTCTCCAGATAGATTTTACGATAATTCCGCACAGGATACTTCTAAACCTATCATCTGGACTCTGTCATCACCAGACATCATCACAAGGTTACCCTCAACCTGCATTAGCTTAAACCTCTACAGGAAAATCCAGTCATTTGGCCCACTGACCAAAAATGGGTCTCGTTCAAACACTTTAATCTGCCTGCTAATCCTTGCTGGAGACATTCAGGTAAACCCAGGACCTATTCGATATCCGTGTGGAGTCTGCGAAAAACCTGTTGCTGCCACCCACAGGGCCCTGGAATGCGACTCATGCTATCACTGGGTTCACATTAAATGTGGATCTATATCACCCAATGAATATACAAACTATGTCAATCAGGAACATTTTAACTGGGTATGCCCCACATGCACAGCTTTTAATTTTACAGACAGTTTTTTCAACTCAACCTGTGAGTCCTCCATACATTCCTCTAACGACGACACTCATGAAGATATTCCCACAGTGTCATATATACAGGAAGTTAGAAACAAATACCCCAAAAATTTTATCTTCGCACACTTAAATATAAACAGTATTAGGAACAAATTCGAGGAAATAAAACTGTTCCTATCAGAACAGTCAGCCGACTTGCTAGTCATATCAGAATCTAAGTTGGATGATTCTTTTCCTAGCCAACAATTCAGTGTTCCATGCTATAAACTCTACCGAGAGGATAGATCAATCAATGGAGGTGGTCTACTCCTCTATATAAGGGATGATATCCCAAGTAGCCAACTCAAGAATCTACAACCTTCAACACTGGAGACTATTATCCTTGAAGCAACAATAAATAATCGTAAATGGATAATAACAGCTGCTTATAGACCCCCTTCGGGAGATCCTTTACTCTTTACACAGGATCTATCACTTGCACTGGACAAGTGCCTTACCAAATCAGATCACCTGATTGTTCTTGGAGATCTGAATATGGATTTAAACCTACCTGAATCCAAAGGCAGACCCTTATGTGATTTATGCGATACTTTGGATCTAAAAAACATGGTAAATACTGCAACCTGCTTCAAGGGAGCCCCATCTATTTTGGACGTCATACTAACAAACAGGAGTCAATTATTCACACTTACAGATGCCTATGACACTGGGCTAAGTGATTTTCATCACTGTGTATTCACAGTCCTGAAGGGCTTTATACCACCAGCCAAACCCAGGACTATAACATACAGGAGCTACAAGTCTTTCGATCCCGAAGCTTTCCGCGATGATCTGAAAACTACTCCTTTCCAGACTTGCAAAGATTTTGAAGACGTCGATGACGCATATAATTCCTACAGCAAACTTCTAGTCAATCTAATTGACAAGCACGCACCTTTGAAAACCAAACGATCTCGTAAAAAGGAGGTGCCTTTTATGAATGCCAACTATCGCCGTGCTATACGTAAGAAAGCTCATCTACGTAAGATCTACTACTCTAACCGATCCACACGAAACTGGGAATCCTACAGGAAACAACGGAATTATTGTACATCTCTCCGTAGGATCTCAGTCAACAATTATTTTTTGGACAAGTGTGTAAATGGCCCGAAAAATAAGGATTTCTGGCCAACTATTAAGCCTTTTTTGTCTAATAAAGGCGTTATTTCTAATAACATCACACTACGTGAAAATGGGAAAATTATACATGACAATTCTCAAATTTGTGATATTTTCAATGACTACTATATAAACATTGCTACCTCTATTGGATCTGATATCACGACACCAGCTAATTTAAACCCTAGTGTCACTTCAATAATCCATAATCATCCAAATTGCTCTACATCTCAGTTTAACTTTGAACCTGTGACAGTTGATGCTGTCCAGCATAAACTTCGAAACATGAACCCAAGGAAAGCAACTGGGGAAGACAGGATCCCCCCCAAAATCATCAAAATTGGAGCTGACATTCTTGCTCATACACTTACACCTATTGTAAACAAATCATTAGTGTCTTCCAAATTTCCTTCTGGCATGAAGCCAGCTGAAGTTTCTCCCATTTATAAAAAGAAGGACGATCTAGCTAAAGGTAACTACAGACCTGTGAGTATCCTGAACTGCCTATCTAAAGTTCAGGAAGGTATTATTTTTGATCAACTTACCTGTTATTTTGATAATATTTTATCGCCACTACTTAGCGCTTTCAGGAAGGGGTATAGCTGCCAGTCTGTGTTACTGAAATTAGTCGAAGACTGGAAGCTTGCCCTTGATAATAACAAAGTGGTAGGTACGGTGTTAATGGACCTGTCAAAAGCGTTTGATTGTTTACCGCACGATATTTTAATAGCCAAACTTACTGCCTATGGAGTTAGCGACTCAGCTACTTCTCTCTTGAAAAGTTACCTCTCTGACAGGCCACAGAGAGTAAAAATTTCAAATTCAACAAGCTCATGGCAGACCATATTGAAAGGTATCCCTCAGGGAAGTATTCTTGGTCCCTGTCTCTTCAATATCTTTATAAATGACATATTTCTAGCCTTGAAGAACTGTAATTTATATAACTATGCTGATGACAACACAATCTCTGTGATTGGTGAAAACAAACAATCAGTTCTTCAAGACCTGGAATCACAGTCTTCTCTTGCCATCAACTGGTTTAATCAAAATAAAATGCTGGCAAACCCTGATAAATTTCAGGCTATGGTGTTACAACGTTCAAGGATTAACTCCAATTTCCTCCCAGATACTCTAACTTTTGGCAATTCTTCAATTCAAACAGAGCAATCTGTGAAGGTCCTTGGAGTAACCCTTGACAACAAGCTCACTTTTAATGATCACATTAAAGAATTATGCATTAAGGCAGCACGTCAAATCAATGCCCTTAAAAGGCTTTCAAATTTATTAGACATGAAAAGTCGCATGACAATATTTAAGGCCTTTGTCTTGTCACACTTTAATTATTGCCCGATAGTATGGCACCACTGCGGCAAGACAAATGCTCTTAAACTGGAAAAGCTCCAAGAAAGATGTCTCCGTTTTGTTTACAAGGACTATGAGTCTGATTATGATACTCTTTTAGACAAATCAGGCCTGCCCACCTTAACTCTAGGTAGACAAAGGCAGATAGCAATAGAAACTTTTAAAATCATAAATAATCAGTCTCCTAGTTACCTTAACGACATGCTTCAGGAGCGTACATCTAGTTACAATTTACGTCACAAAAATACTCTAAATGTTCCATCTTTCAATACTGTAACACATGGCAGACACTCTTTTAGAGTTGATGCATGCTTTATATGGAACAATCTACCCAATGATCTCAGAAGTTGTGTATCTCTTACAGAGTTCAAAAAACTAATTAAATCATGGAACGGTGAAAACTGCAAATGTGCAATATGTAAATGTAAAATGTAAACCTATCAGTTTCTCTGTGCCACTATGTAAATGTATTTTAGTATGACATATGATTTTTTAGTATTTATTTAGTATTTATCTTGTTAACACTGTTGCATGTTTTAAAATTTTATTTTAAAGATTTATATGTCTATATGTCGGTCAATAGCGCTTGCGCTAATGTTTATTGTACAAAAATTATCCGACTTGAAATAAATATTGATATGATATGATATGATATGCCTGTGCGATTACAACATGGGAGAATTTTTTACTGATCTTACACTTCAGATACCTACTTCAATAGATTCCTTGGTAATTTAGCATTCTTTTCGTGTAGTTGAATCCACAATTGTCTGGGTTTATCGGCAGAACGAAGACATTTTCGTTTTTGATCGCAATATTTGCGTGTAACATTTAACTTATTTCAACCGTCAAATTCCTCCATTTTGGTACTTCCGGGCTACATCCGGGACAGCCAAACGGGGGATTCCCCTTTTAAATCCAACCGCCATTTTGAAAAGTGATGGAATCTCTCTCGATGAAAAAGAGAAAATGTTCCCGTTCTGCCGATATACCCAGACAATCGGCGGTTCCAATATATTAGAAGTTACATCTTGAGTTCTATAATGCATTGAGGTAGTTATCTTAAGTGTAAGGGGCGTAGATAATTCTCCCAAGTTGTAATCGTACAGGCAAATGAATGCGATCAGTGCAGGACTATAGTCCGGGAACGGGATAACTCTCTCTAAGCTCCTAAATAGTCTAATAATTTGAGTTTTTATGGCTACTGTACTGCATCAATGAAAGTTCCTCTGGCAAAACCTCCTGTTTATAGCGTATATTTAAGAAAAAACAAAAATAAAAATAAAAAGAATCTACAAAAACACTAGAGAGAGTCACAAGAGGAAAGCACCATTGAAAAAACAGCACCAGAGACTATTAGGTGACATGCATGATACAGTAGGGGACATAAATAAATGACAGGTGGATTTGCTGAAGTGAGGATTTCCCATGTTAAAAATAAGAGAATTTACAAGAGGCCATAAATCAGTGGATGAGATTATACAAAATGTAAAATATACAAATTTTAAGGGATATGTATCTAGACAATATTGGAAATTATGGGCTTTCAGACCACCATAATTAGGAAATGGTGATCGAAAATCGACCTGTCATTTATTTTTGTCCCCAACTGTAGCACCGTATATATGGACTTGACCAACCAACCAACCTTACTCCCGTCGAGAGCTACTTAGATTTTGAAAGTATAGCTCTCTATCGCTAGAATCAACAGCTTAAGAATCCTGACTTCAAAGAAAATTCCAGGGAATTCAGCTGACTCATGTTGCACATTATATACCTGAAAATGTATCCTACATCGCCATCTTTCATTCAGCTCAACTATAGAACGTCTCACTGCCCTATGTATCGATCAGGACTTCATTTTATCGGTCGTGTCAAAAGTTTTGGCCAGGTATATTCAATATGGCGGCTTGACGTTTCCCAAGTTGCGCATGCGTCGATAATATTTCCGTTTAACCGCCATATTGGAAATGGGTATCAAAAACAATGAATTCAAAAAACGATTAGAACTCCTGATCGCCATAGAAGCACATCCGCGATCCTACATGCACGGGGAAAGTAGACACATATGAGCCCATATGTAGGCTACAGTTTGAGACAAACAGTAAGCCGCTGAATGGCGCTGATCAAATTTAGATGTCACAATTCTTCAGCTGGAGATCCTGACGATGGAGAGCTATACTTTCAAAATCTAACATGGTAGCTCTCGACGTGAGTAAAACCAACCTACATTATTTATATACAGTAGTTCAAGTGTATAAAGAGGATTCGAACATGCTTGTAAACCTGGTCTGCACTAATAAGACTATAAGAAGTAGATTCTTTGTTTTGCATCCTGGCATACTCCAAATCATGCAAGGGTACAAGGAAAACAAACACAAACTCAAGAAAAAACACAAACTTGTTTGCTGAGAAATGTATGTGGGCATAAAGAGGGATGACATACCAATTTGCAGTAACAACAAACACATATCTATACATTTTATACAATATATTTGAACATAGCCTTGCAAGGGTAAAAAATAAGAAAATACACAATGTATGCCAAAAAACTCATAACACTGTCAATTTTGACGCACATCAAATTACCTGCCATTTCGTCTGATTCTCATTGAACAAAATGCGATGGTACTTTCAGATCCTTGTGATTGCTATTTGGATGTGTGTTTTTTTTTGATTTACTAAAATTGTGCAAGCAAGGGGACGCAAAACAAAGAATCTACTTCTTAATTCTTATGGCCTAAGTGTTTTTCGATCAGAACTAAACCGGAAATAAGAAATGAAGTGACGATTTTGTAAAATTTTGGTGAATTTTCACGCGAATTGTTTCGAAATATGTGTATCGTACTTGTATGTCACACATTTGCTTCGAAATATTTTGTACCTAGTCCCCTACAGCTTTTAATGAAATAGTTATTTTATTTACAGATGTGTAAAGCTAGATATCCTTGAGCCATACAAACATCATTTTGGACCCAGACATTCACACAGAGTAACCAGAGACTGCCAACCAAAGAAATATGGATCTCTCACCCATGAACAATACCCTGCCCACTCCGGGCCATCTGACACTGTTGTACAAAGTGATTATTTTATTAAGAAAGTTGGAGAGTGGTGGGACCAGAAGAATGTTATAGGCAGGTATTCTGTCATTAGTGATCCTTTACACACTGTATCAGTAGTGGAACCCTCAGGACCAGGAGGCTGTGAGAGACACAATAGAAGTACAGTCAGAGAGACCTCCGCTGTAAAGAAATGTATTATTGCTCAGAATGCTGGTTTATTTAACACATCATCTGGGGAATGTCACGGTATGTACTAGGAACAAAGAATAAAGATGTTTAACTAACAGTTTTTTGCACATACATTAAAACCTTTCTTAGTGAGCATCTCTCTACTGAACACCCGACTCTAGTGGATACCCTTCCTCTGCACACACTCTACTGACTTCTGTACAAATAACCCTCTCTATAGTGAACAACTACCAACACTGAACATTTTTTTCTTGGCAAAAAATATTCAATTTACACAGGTTTGTCCTAGTGAACACCTCTCTCTAGTGAACACCCTTCAAATCAAATTGACTCTTGTATAAAATCTCCTCTCTGTAGAGCACAATGAATACCTAGCTACAGTGAACACTTTTAGTGGCTTCATAGGTGCTCACTTAGACAGGTTGTACTGTAGTTCATACTGTATATCTAGAGTCAGGATTTGATCAGCAGCAGGCAATACTAGCCAATTTTTAGTAAAATCAGAGAATATTGCCTTTAGCTTGCTTCTAATGGAACCTTGGTAGTACATTTAAATTTTAACAGTCATTTTGCTGAATTGCTTGTAGTAATTTGAGTTGTCACCTCCTTATATATTTTTTTTATATTTTAATTTATTTATTTCACTTCATTTTTTACATATAAATACAGTACATAATTACAATACATGTTTAGTTACAATACATCATCACCTCCTTCATTGTCACCTCCATATGCTTTTTTTATACAATATGTTTATTTCATTGATATATTTTTCATGGCATAATACATACCTCCATAAGCTGATACTATTATATTGCAGGTAACATAGTCACAGATGGAATTGTAAGACAGAACTCAGGTGGCATACAAAATGCTCACTTTGGCATCAGGAAAAATGGAAAACTCTTCTTTGGGTATGTTTCCAAACCAATAACTTAACTATAGATAAAAAATTATATTTCATTAAGTACTGAGCTTACTTAATCCATGTACTTTTCATCAATCTGTGCTGCATAACGAACATTAATATTTATATTACCTAGCATCACCCAATGTTAATTATTTCCTATTATAGATTATAACGGATATTACCAGTAACAATTGTGATCAATGCTGATTAATTATTATTAATTAGTAATAATTAAGAAGTTGTAAGGGGGTGTCATTGTAACTTCATAATTTCTAGATATTTCACAGAGGAAGAGGTAGAAGAGTTTGAGTGTGAACAGTTGGTAGGGGGTGTCATTATAGCTTAATTATTTCTAGGTATCTCACAGAGGAAGAGGTAGAAGAGTTTGAGTTTGAACAGTTGGTAGGGGCTGTCATTATAACTTCATTATTTCTAGATATCTCACTGAGGAAGAGGTAGAAGAGTTTGAGTTTGAACAATTGGTAGGGGGTGTCATTATAACTTCATTATTTCTAGATATCTCACTGAGGAAGAGGTAGAAGAGTTTGAGTTTGAACAATTGGTAGGGGGTGTCATTATAACTTCATTATTTATAGATATCTCATAGAGGAAGAGGTAGAAGAGTTTGAGTTTGAACAGTTGGTAGGTGGTGTCATTGTAACTTCATAATTTCTAGATATTTCACAGAGGAAGAGGTAGAAGAGTTTGAGTGTGAACAGTTGGTAGGGGGTGTCATTATACCTTAATTATTTCTAGGTATCTCACAGAGGAAGAGGTAGAAGAGTTTGAGTTTAAACAGTTGGTAGGGGTTGTCATTATAATTTCATTATTTCTAGATATCTCACTGAGGAAGAGGTAGAGGAGTTTGAACAATTGGTAGGGGGTGTCATTATAACTTCATTATTTCTAGATATCTCACTGAGGAAGAGGTAGAAGAGTTTGAGTTTGAACAGTTGGCAGGGGGTGTCATCATAACTTCATTATTTCTAGATATCTCACAGAGGAAGAGGTAGAGGAGTTTGAGTTTGAACAGTTGGTAGGTGGTGTCATTATAACTTCATAATTTCTAGATATTTCACAGAGGAAGAGGTAGAAGAGTTTGAGTGTGAACAGTTGGTAGGGGGTGTCATTATAGCTTAATTATTTCTAGGTATCTCACAGAGGAAGAGGTAGAAGAGTTTGAGTTTAAGCAGTTGGTAGGGGGTGTCATTATAATTTCATTATTTCTAGATATCTCACTGAGGAAGAGGTAGAGGAGTTTGAGTTTGAACAGTTGGTACGGGGTGTCATTATAATTTCATTATTTCTAGATATCTCACTGAGGAAGAGGTAGAGGAGTTTGAGTTTGAACAGTTGGTAGGGGGTGTCATTATAACTTCATTATTTCTAGATATCTCACTGAGGAAGAGGTAGAGGAGTTTGAGTTTGAACAGTTGGTAGGGGGTGTCATTATAACTTCATTATTTCTAGATATCTCACTGAGGAAGAGGTAGAACAGTTTGAGTTTGAACAATTGGTAGGTGGCGTCATTATAACTTCATTATTTCTAGATATCTCACTGAGGAAGAGGTAGAGGAGTTTGAGTTTGAACAGTTGGCAGGGGGTGTCATCATAACTTCATTATTTCTAGATATCTCACTGAGGAAGAGGTAGACGAGTTTGAGTTTGAACAGTTGGTCGGGGGTGTCATCTGGCTGGTGCGCAATGGACAAAGTTATGTCAATTCCAGTAAATACACAGAGTGTTCCGACACAGAAGAAACAGGTATAAGGTCTGCTGTATAATATCTGAGCTCTCCCCAGGAATTTTTTTATTAACTGTGTGAAAAATACAATTTTTGTTTTGTTTTCTAAATAAAAATCATACTCATTTTTCATCATTCAGAGCCTTCATAGTTACATATCTGGCAACACGTTACAGGCAATGGCAATGTTATTGGAAGTCATTATTTTATAATTTCAATATGAAAACAATCTAACAGGTGGTCTCTGTTAAACAACCAGAGAAAACCACCTGCAATTTCCTCCTGCAAATGAAGCCCAATTGTTTTCCACCTGCACCATAGTCCTGAATACAAGCCAGAAACAAAAGCATACAAGTGATACATACTGATAGGCGTAACAATGTTATAACCCTTCAAAATGATCTCAGCTTGTATAAAGGACTAGTCAAGTTCATGTTGATTTCTAAATACATGCGATGTAATTTTCAAATTCTGAATAAGGTGCAGCACAAATTTGCTCCAATGCTGGTGAGATTACTACATTAACCATGCATCCTATTCATCTAATAATAATTTAAAATAGTTAGTCTTCAGTTACTCCAACAGCAAAATATTAGTTTCTCCTACTCCCAAGTATATTACGTATCATATGTATTTTCATTCAGTGTATTTCTATTCTGATGTATAGTGACCCGATTTTAATTATTGAAGTGCATAATAAAGTAATGACTAGATAATAATCACATCTCAAATGCTTTATTCATGAAAACAGATATTTCAGCTATATAATTGCAATGCATGCATCATGATTGTAAGTTGTTATCTCAAAAATAAAAATGAAAGTAATTAAACAATGAGTTTTTCTATTAGGAAACCATAATCTACTTCCACCTTTTTTTCTGACTGAATAACTGCATGAATTTTTGATGTAAATTGATACATCAGCCATATTTCTAAGGCCATATATACTTGTATATTTAGGAAGCATAGATACATTTGTTGATGTCAAGTCTGCCCGCACTGCTGTCGGTCATGACAAAAAAGGACGTATTGTATTGGTGAATGTCGAGGGTCAGTCTTGGAATTATGGGTAAGATTCTTCTCCATTATTAAGTTTTATGTCTTCAATTTTTGACAGTCATACAAAATTTCATATTTTTTTCAAATTGTTTCAAACAATGCTATAAACAAGTTAATAACAATTTGTGTTTTCATTTAAATGGTACACAATTTGCAGAATTAACCTATGGGAGTTTGCTGATCTTCTCATAGAGTTTGGAGTTGTGAATGCCATCAATCTAGATGGGGGTGGATCAGCCACTGCAGTAATAAACCAAACATTAGTTAATTACCCCTCAGATGAATGGTAAGATAATCATATACAGTCAGTCATGAACCAAATTAATTAACCATGCATCTCTACATAAATAACTCAGACATTTATAACAACTTGGTTCTACATGGTAGCTTTAAATCTTATGTGACTACAAGTCCTCTGTGTTGACAATCCATAGTACCCACATAAAGTAGGGTACTAATGTGAAGGGGTTATACGTTTCTATGTAGAATATGAGTTGTCATAAACCATATACAGTGAAACCTGTATATCTGAATACTAGTACTTCTCTATACTGAAACCTTTTAATCTGAAGATTTTTTTCATCCCACTTTTTAATCTACCATAAACTTCCATGTTAAAAACCTTGAAATATGAACATCTGCCAGTCTGAACACATTTGGCCTGTCCTACTTGCGTTCAGAACAGACAGGTTTTACTGTATATATCTATAGACTCCTCTCATAGCAATGTTCTTCATAAATCCAATTCCTGTTTATTTTAGTGGAAATGAGACAGCTGGTTATGAAAGGTTTCACTGTGAGCGTCCAGTCTCCACCATACTGTGTGCACATCATGCTCCATGCCACAAACCAGATTGTTCCCATCATGGAACTTGCATTGCTGGTCAATGTAGGTGTGATGGCTATTGGACTGGGAGAGACTGTGATAAACTCTACTGCCCAGGCCATAACTGTAGTATACATGGTACATGTACCAAAGGTTAGTAGTTTTCTTTCCAATGAAAAGCTACCATTAGAAAAAATGCTTGATCTTAGTAAATCAAAGGTGTCAAATTCTACTAGCTATCTATATCATTCATTCATTGTGTAACAAGGCAAATGATGTATGTGCACTTGGTGAATGTGGTAGGCATCCTTTAAACATTGTATATATGAAACATTGTATAAAATATTGGTTAAACCTTCTTAAAATGCCAGATGAAAGATTACCGAAAGCTTCCTATAAAATGTTATATCAATTAGACCAAAGTGGTAGGATAACTTGGGCAACACATGTTAAAACCTTATTGAGTTCTATGGGCTTTGGAATTATTTATACCAACCAAAGTGTTGGAGATGAAAACTTATTTCTTAAAATTTTTGTGCAAAGAATAAAAGATGTCAATTTACAAGCATGGTCAGGATCATTATAAGCTTCAAATAGATTTGAATCATACAGTGATTTTAAAAGTTTATTAGAAGTCGAAACATATTTATCAGTTGTAAATATTGTAAAATATAGAAGAGCTTTAACAAGGCTAAGATGTTCCAATCATAAACTGAAAATTGAAATTGGTAGGCATCAAAATATGCCAAAAGAGGATCGCATTTGCCCTCTTTGTGAATTATACCAAGGTATACATCTGGAGGATGAATTTCATTTTATTTTAATCTGCCCGTCATTTATTGATCTAAGGGAAGAGTACATCAAAAGGTATTATTATATTTTACCATCACATCAAAAGTATATTAATTTAATGTCTACAAAAGGTGTAAATGATTTATGTAACTTAGCTACTTTCTGCTATAAAGCATTTAATTTAAGGCAGGAGCTACTAAATTGATGTAAACATGTATTGTTATATTTGTAAAACTATGGGCCCGAGGCCTTTTATTTGTTTGAAATAAACTAAACTTAAACTAAACATATTACGATCAAAATAAGTTGATTGAGTTGACCTTCTCTGTGTTAAATCATTGAAATATACCTGTTGTGATTATTTTTTCCATTCCGCACAAAATGTCAGAGAAAAACTGTCAATACTAAAGACCCATGCAAAGTTTGAAAACTGACTTTTGAAAAACAACTTGTTGGTCTTCCAATTATCCAATTTTTGGGATTTCCTACCATTTTATCAACAAAGTGTGAAATTTTCATTTCATCAAATATATGTTTATTTTAGATGGCTGTTCGTGCAACAATGGATGGCTGGGTGAAGTTTGCAATATGACATGTCCCCCTGGTTTCTATGGCAACAATTGTGCCCATAGATGTCACTGTGTACATGGTGTCTGTAGTCCTATAGATGGCAGTTGTCAGTGCAGTCCAGGCTATAGAGGCCTCATGTGTGATACAGGTATTGAATATCATGATAATCCCATCTACATATGCCATATCTAAATTCAGGGTTCGAAGCTTACAGCTGCCTGACAATATATTGTATTGAAGAAGTAAAAAGCAGTTGCCATTGGCAGTGGACTGAATGCCAATTTGGTTAATTGCGGCAATCATGTTTTCGAAGTTAGTCATGAACGCTGTCTAAATATCTGAGATGCATTTAAACTTTTTAAAGATTTTAAAAGTTTTGTCCATACTTCATTCAAAGGATTAGTTAATGTTATTTCTTGAACAATGGCATATGCATGTACATGTGCTCATAATCAGGTAAAATATGCAAAATCATCATAAAAAATGAATGCGTCCATTGATGACAATTGTGTGTGTATTTTCCAGAATGTGAGTCAGGCTATTTTGGGTCAGGCTGTAGAAAGATATGCTTCTGCAAGGATGCCTGTACGTGTCACCCTGTTGATGGAACCTGTAATGTTTCTATAGCAGGGACAGCTCTTTACTCAGGTTAGTTGCAGATGTACTAGCTTAGTCTTGCTACAAGCCCTTGTGCCCCCCCCACTACAAACCTACCCCCACAAGGTGATGAGGGTCCAGAGGCTTGAGGCAAGACTAGGTATTAGTTGTGTATCACTTAGAATGTATTGTTAGTACAGTTCTGTTCTTATCGTTCATTTTAAATTGAGACTCGGTTAGTTTGAGACATAAGACTTAATCCAGAATTGAGTCATATCAAACTATAGTAAAACTTGTCTAAGTAGAACACCTTTGGTACCTATAAAAGGTTTTCCACTTGGGAGGTGTTCCACTGATACAGGTTCATTTAACATTTAGTCTGTTATTCTCGGGACTCTGAAAAGTGTTCCACTTCAAGAGGTGTTCCACTTTACAGCTTTCACTGTACTTTATGTACAGGATATACCTGGTACATCAGTTTTGGTGCCAGTTTCCTGGAAACAAAACATGATTTATTGATAAAATGAAAACTATTATGCAAATTCATTTTAAATTCTTGGTTTGATTCATTTTTGAAATACAGTACTAAAAAATGTTGTGTACTTTATATCATTTAAAAAGTACAAATAAGTAGGAGAAGGATACATCCGCTAGTTGATTATCTGGCTATATATGTTTATTTTTTTCAGCCTCTAGCTGTACTGCTCAACATATTATAAAGTCAAAAAATCTAGTGCCTGATCAAACACCACAATTGCAGTAAGTTGTAACATTTATGGGCAGACTTTTTAATTCTTTTTTTCCTTTTAATTCTTTTTTTAATTCTTTATTTCCATAACAGTGAAAAAGTATTTAATTTCTGAAATATTCTGAATATTTATTTAATATATGTCCACAATCTAACAAAGATAAAGTATATAGTATTTTGGATTTATTATGAACCCTGGGCACTTATTACATAGAACAAAGTACAGTAAAACTTGTGTATAGTGAACATTTTTTTGCCAAGAAAAAACGTTCACTGTAGGTAGGTGTTCACTAGAGAGAGGGTAATTTATACAGAAGTCAGTGAACTATGTGCGTAGGAAGGGTGTCCACTAGGGACAGGTGTTCACTAGAGAGAGGTGTTCACTAAGACAGGTTTTACTGTAATGTGTATAAGAACAATCATGTAGAAGAAACAATTGTTATATTATGGATACTTAACTCACAGGCCAGCTAAGCCAGCTTTTGCCAAGGGTGTTCATTTTTCAAAAAAATCCAGGCGGATTAATTTACAAACCCTCAAGGTTGGAGATGAAGGAGTAAAATGTTAATACACCCAAAGCTTTTCTTTGAAGCAGAGGCGGGTCAAGACTCAAAATGAAATTAATGCCTTCTTTGACGTCAACGGAAACCAAATCACTGTTAGTTCTCCACAGTGAAGTATAAAGTAATTCTCTTTTCCAGATCTCTGCTAATTTGTGTGACAGTCTTAGGAATAATCGCCAGTATCAGTATTATATTGAACATTGTACTAGTCTACACGTTTTCACCATACTACAACAGTCAATGCACGTCAAAATGTTCACAGAAACAGAAATACCAGCAGTTACCTAGCAACAGTTATGATACAGACACTAGCGACACCTGTGGGGAGGCAGATGACGAAAGTGACTCCATGTGGCCTTCTAATTCCAAACTCATCTTTAAAGAAAGATTAACTAAATCTGAAACTGCTCCATCCTGATGAATGGCAAATAATAATGTAGTTTATTGGAAATAATCTTATAGATTCTCATTGATTAATAATGTACACTATCATGATGCTTGTACAGACTTTAGAAATGTACGTGGCCTGATGAATTATCATCAAAGTAGTCTGGCTTGTTAAGCTGTCACAAAATGACAGTCATGATTGATAGTCATGACCTAATGAAATATCATCTTTAGTCATGACTTGATAAAATACCATCTGTATATAATATTGTCATGTCCAAATGGTATATCATCAGTTGTCATGACTTGATAAAATACCATCTGTATATGATATAGTCATGACCTAATCAAATATCATCAGTACAGTCATGACTTGATAAATATCATCCATATATGATATAGTCATGACCTAATGAAATATCATCAGTAGTCATGACTTGATAAAATACCATCCATATATGATATTGTCATGTCCAAATGAAATATCATCAGTAGTCATGACTTGATAAAATACCATCTATATATGATATAGTCATGGCCTGAAATGATATAAGGATACCTAGAAGCTGTTGGAATGCATAACTGACAACACTCAGTTGTGAGTAAATGCATAATCCTTATATTAGAACTATCACCATATTTTTAAATTAAATATATTGAAAGGGTATTTAATTCAGTATTCTACATACTGGAAGTTAAACATTATTTATTAGATCATTATAGAAATATGAAATGCAGCGTCCTAATGGTGTTTTCATCTCGACAACCAGTTGTTTCAGTTGCGGCAACTCAGAGTGACATTTGTGAAACCAATCCTGAGAAACCACTAACTAATTTTGAGTTGCCAAACTGAACTATATGCAATTTATATTTTTTTTATTAATATTATAGTATTTTGATTAGATATATAATTGTTACGTGGCATGATAAATGTACATTCAATGTATGTCGTAATCGTCAATGGTCTGGGGTGTGTTTTATCTGTCAAGAGACCTCCGGTCAGGGAAAAGTTAAAATCACTTTCCCTCTGAAGTTAGGGATTAAAAATATTCTAAAATTGTTATTAAATCATATGCGATACATTCATTAGATTCATTCACATTTAAGTTGTATTTAAGATAGTAACACTGTAGTTATGGATATGTGGACAGTAACTTTGCTTAATTGTAACAAGTGACCATCACTGAACCTATTCTGCATGTTTCATTCCCAAATTGTACTCTGCATAGCCATATCTCAAAATAGGTGAGAATATAATACTACTATGTGAACTATTTTTCAGTTTCAGTCTGAAAATGTTTTTCTGTAATATGTTTTATAAAAAAATACTTTCTCTAAAATTTGATCAGGTTAGGTTGCCATAGCTCATAGACATCGTGACTCAGCTTGTCAATGTGCATTCTGGTGAAAGGATTATATTTACCTCTATATGAGCTGTGCGTTTATTGTATGGTAGCTATGGAATATATACCTTGTTAATTTTTAAGCCATTTTAATTTGCTGATGACGCATTTCTGGTTAATTATTGTTATCACGATATTTCACAATATCGTTATCAGGTTATTACAATAAATTTTGCAATGGGTTTCTTGCAATACACCAAATATAGTATATACAGGCATTTTCACGAAATAGAGTCATACAAATTGGATTTTTCTATAGAAGCTAGCTATGACTTTGAGTGTTGCTAACAAAATTAGTAGTGGAAATGAAGAAAAACAAAAATGACCAAAGGAAATAAATCAATTGACTAGAAATCAATACAGTAAAACAGGTTTATCCGAACACTAATCTGACCAATTCTGGATTTAAATGCCCTTTTGATCACATATTTTTAACCTGCCATAGACAGAGACATCTCAAAAATTAAGAATGTGATCATCTGCCAATCTGAACAAAAACCTCAGCAGCAAATGGATTAGATATAAAATCTTGCCTCCCAAAACCTTTTATATTTTCTAGCTGATTTGGATTATGGAATTATATTTTTCAATATTTTTTCTTTAATAAATTAAACGTATACTCATAAAGTTGTTGTTTGTTGTTAAATGTGTTTTTGCCTTTTGAAACTGATGACTTACATATACAACTACAACTGAAAAGATATACATATCTCAGACCTAGCCCTTCCCTAATTATAGGGTTATAGTTGGTGTTTGACGTTGGTGGTTGGCGTCTGTAACAAATGACAGGTGGTGACATTTTCCATGTTAATGACTTGTTAAATTATACAAAATTATAATTCATGGAATATTGACGCGTACTTAGCAAAATTCTAAAATTTCTGGCAAAATGTTTGACCCTAATTGCTAAAATTGAGTTCTTCAACCCAACATAGAAATACAAAAGTTAATTTGCGAAATGATGCCTGGTTTTGCATACCCGAGCGCATTTCTTTGTAGCTTATGGTATTCAAATAAAATAATGTTTTATTTAAAGATCTTTGAGGTTCGACCTAATATATAATCTATTTCTACCTCATACAATCTCATTCTACAATGTCATAATGAGTAACATTTTCATATAGTTAAATTGTGTCCTTAAAAGAGAGTTTCATCCTGATGAGCTGGGCACTGACCCTCAGAGAACATGGCATTTTGAGAACGTGGCATTTTGCATACTGTATAAGACGTCCCTTTCTTTCCTTTCCCTTTTCCCAAAATCGTACCATTGGAAAGGGAACTAATCACTAAACTTGGCAGAGATATAATCGGGAAATATGTTCTGTTGATACGTTATGCTTTCAATGTTTAGTTTGAAAGCCCAGTGGCCGTTTTCCAAGAAATAATTTGGGGATTATTTTTGTTCCCTATACACTAGTACACCAAAGACCTTGTGAAATCAGGACTAAGCTTGTTTGTATATATTCTTTGGAAAATTCCAATCTCATTCAGACGTTACCCAACAAAGAGGGAGACTTAGGAATACGTTTACAAAGATCAGGATTCAAAGACCTTTGGGAATGAAACATCTTGTTTCAGGAATATTTAGCCAAATTGACCTTCGGGATTTGATACAGATTCACTGGTGCAGCTTTCTGCAATGCCTTCATATAAGACATTCACATGTAAGAAATGCAACTCATCGTGTAATTGTATAATATTTCATTTTCTGCATTGCAATCAATTTTTATCTGAGAGAGACGCATTTTTTGAGCGACTCATTGATATCTTACCAGTTCAAGATAGTGTTATGCTTTTCAATTTTGATGATGATATTTTCTTACAGACTGTTCTGGGTAGCAGAATAGATTTTGATGTAGCCAATGACACCATTTATGAAATGTTCGTTATCGAATGTGCAAATACATTTTACAATATAAATATGTATTTCAAATAGGTACGCTTGAATTGTAATGATAAAATGTATTTAGAGTCATTTAACTTGTAAATATGTAAATATTAATAACCCCTTACTCTTCTGTAATATATGTTTGTAATGTGATATGCATGTATAAATTGTTATGCTCTCCAATAAAACGGAGGAAATAAAGAAACATAAACATAAACATAACAGGCATAATCCTCCAAGAGACTGGATTTCCATATTTTAAAATTGAACATAATTAAAGGTAAGTTAAACCAAGTATGAATATCTAGACGTAATTTGCTCACAAAATTAAAATCAAATGTCTCTTATAGCTTTAATCCAAATAAACGGGTCTAGAAAGTGACAAGGTCAACATGAAACAACTACAAGTATTAAGAACTGTATATATTGTTCGAAGAGATATTTACAGAATGTATTATTGTGATCTGTTACGTTTTAGTAAATATTATACTTGATTGTGCAAATAGATACACGATGGATCGTGTAGATAATACATGTTTATCTCAACCAATGATTTTGGTTTTAAAGTACCCTGCGCGCAGAGTCTAGTTAAACTACGACGAAGCTCTCTTTTGAGAAGTGAAGTCAAAACGAATGCAAAGGGTAGTCTTAAAGCCCCCCTCACATATGAACGAATCCAATAAGCGTAGTCTTGCGAATTTGATGGGAACGTAAATATGTAAACCGAAGCGCGTCATTGCGCAAGCTTCTGAATTTTTCCGAGTGGATACTTACACATACGAACACCCCTACGATGTTCATCGTAACTAATAGAACGAAGTCCTATTCACCAGTACACGCGCAAGTTGACGTCGGGGGCTTTCGTTCATATTAAAGGGCTCCTCACATATGAACGAATCCACTGGCGAATTGGGTAAATTGTCAATATATTCTGGCGATTGGGAAAGTGAACATGCGAACCGAAGCGCAACTTTGCGCATGCTTCCGAAGCATTTCGAAAATATACTTTCGCATACGAACACCAAAACGATGTACAACACACGTATGCTAATGTGGACGAATCTTACTATCCCATTGGTTAATACACGCAAGTTGACGTCGGGTTTTTCGCTCCTCTCACTTGAACGAATCCACCAAACGCAGCCTTGCGAATGGGGTAAATTGTAAATTATGGCGATTGGGAATGTATACATGCGAACTGAAGTGCAACTTTGCGAATGCTCTCCCCGGATGCTTTCGATGCTTTCAAAAAAAGGGAATGATATTTATCTAGATACACAATCAACAGACCGTTGTCCACCTTTTCTGCTGTCACTGTTATTATTGGCCTTTGTGTAAGGTATATAGTACCATTATGAATTCAATTTTTTGCGTTATTCATTATACGTATTGCAAGCTATCGGGCCTTTACGTTCGCGCGTTCATGAAATTCATATTACTTTAGTTTGTTATATTTTTATTCATCTGTTCAAGGCATTTTCAAAACATGTTCGAAAAACATTTTTCTTTTCAAAACATGTTCAAAGTCGTTTGATTATTGGCAAACTGGATAAGCGTCATATTGGGCACATCCAAAAATTAGGCAACAAATTATACATATAAGGAGCGATGCAAATCTTAGATACACTAAAAATTGAAAATACCGAAGTATCACAGTGCATGGTTATTGTTATGAATTTATATCGCGTTCGTGTGCATATTAAAGGAATTTGAACTTCCTTTTCCCCATACATAACATGTAAAACACGATATGTTGTTTCCTGAAATATATAGCTTTCCATAAAAGAATTATTGGATTGATAGGAAACGTAAACATTAAATGTATTTTAGCCGTCGTGGAGTCCCTTAAGCCCTGAGCGAGTGTAAGAGACGCAGCGAGCTTTAGAGAAGTGTGGAGGATGGCAACTGCAAAGATGCGCATCAAGTCAATGGGGGATGGACGGAAGAGTCTGTATATGAGCATGGCAAATGAGGCAAGTAGTTAGTTCATAATATTGTTGCGTTTAATTACTGTCTCATGAATGAAATATCTTTATCCCTGTGTGGACTTCATATAAAAGAATAGTCCATGATGCATAAATAAAACCAGATCAAGTCTTCAGTGTAAAATGTCCCCTCTTCAATTATCCAACCCACCCCTTTATGTTGTCGACGATGATTTAGCATACCACTCGCGAATATCTCATAAAGGTAAAAATACGCATTCTGATACTCATAGCATCTTTCTGTTTCACCTGAAACATCTCAGGGCTGAAAAGAAATGAGATGTCATGGTGTATCATGATGAAAAATACGAACCGAAAGAAAAATGAGGACGTTATCGTTTAAGTTACTAGTATGTACGAGATACTTAAACAGGCAATGCGCCTATTTTTGAAAAAGGAAAAATATTATTTGAGACATGTCACTCACACAATCAGTCAATATGATAAAAACTTTAATTTGGGATAATACTGAAGTGGAAAAAAATTACTCGCATAGAAAACAGCATTTGAAGTTCAGAGATTGGAAAAAGTGAATTACCACTTTTCACAAAATGTATGTTTTAAATAACTCTTGGATTAAAAGATGGCGTATGCTTGAAAATCCTGTCAAAAAAGAATGGATAATTAATACAAACAACAATGCCATATTTTTATGGCTGTGCACAACTTGACATATGAGCCTGGCCATAGGAAAACCGGTCTTATCACAAAAATTGAAATTGTGCTACAGAGCCAAAAATGTGCCAAAGATTTAGAGGAAATGTGCTAAATTCAAATCCGACTTATTGGTTTATATAGTACTATGCAAGGTAAAACTGTTAAGACACAAGCCAACGCTCATTTGAAAGGTCTCTTTGTGCTTTTTAAGATAAACAAAAAATCAGAATATTGAAAGAATCTGTGATAAGACCCATTTTCCTGTGGCCTGGCTCATATATAAATTAATAGATCAAAAATATTTTTTCATGATCTAGTGTAAACTCTGATGTGGTTTGTTTGAGCTTTTTGGTGTCAAATAAAAGATCGGGTACTTATTAATCCATTTGAAATACTATGAAGATCAAAAGTGAGACTCCATTTACGCACTTTGTCCCTTTAATATGAGCATTTACGTTACGTTCATGAATAAAACGTACTGGTATATACAATTACAATCGTTATAAGTATTTTGTTTTATATGTTTTATTGGAATAAAAAATGTTTTAAAATTAAACACTTAGTGCTTTAAAAATTAGATATATCCCATTGTGTACGCGATGTTCATCTGTTTCAGCTCAAATTGATCATCCGTTAGCCAATTCGGTGTAGTTACTGCATACTATATTTTCCTCGATCGCCTTTTATTCATGCTATCAGAAAAACATAAACATCGGAGACCATGTCATTATGTGTGATACTAACGTAGTAAGATGAGTGAAAATCATCTTGAAATTGACTGCAACTGCATCTTTTCACGATCACATATCGTATATCATGTTGATGCCTAACTTTCATTCAATATTCATGTTTTCTTTTGTATTGAATACACCTACCCATTCAAGGACACACAATGTAATATGATTGACTCTAGGATCGCAATGTGTTTATTTCTCTTTATTTTTAAGAGTGTTCTTGAAAAGAAGTTTACGTTTGCATCTTATGTACACACATTCTTCTTTAGCAGTTTCAAGTATGGTAAATATTAATCGTATATCAACTCGATTTCGTCTAAAGTTTGCTATAAAAGCAACTGGTAATCAAAATCCACTTTGACGAAGCACACATTCTACTACATCAAAACAAGAAACAAGAAAACATTATTAACAGAGCGCAACGAATAAAGATTGATTGGTTGAGTGATTGTTTGGGTTGATTGAATGATCATGATTGATTTTTGATTTCGAAAGAGTAGACGACGGGATTTAAGAGTACATTTATGTTCAAAGGTGGTGATACTTGAGCGTCGTTTAGCATCAGGTAAGAAATTTGGGATTTTTATTGCTATTTGACCGATCCTACACCCTCTCATATATATCGTGGTGTTTACCTTTCATAAATTATTGTTAACTATATCTCAGAGAGGTTAGGAAGGCCTATGCAAGTATATGGTAGATTAGAATCTAAATGAATACCACTTAATCTTACACTTAATGATTTTAACATTGACTCAGCATGTCTTGACTAATAGGCTCGGGGCTCATTGGAGCCACCTCTCTTAATTTCACTCAAGACTAATCTTTTGAAATACGTTTTTCTTTGATTTTTTGGCAAACAATGACTGGACATTCTCATTTAAAAATTAGTAAGGTCGGTATTAACCTCCAGGTTGTGATGTACCGTTGGATAGGTGAATGTGTGAAATTACACGATTCAAATTATGACATACGCACTTCATTCCTACTTGCAAAAATTTATGACAATTTGAGGTAGAAAGATATATTCACCGTTAAAGGACATGTAAGGTCAAAAGACTGAATTCCTCATCTGAAAAAATTAATAATTCATTCAAATTATATTTCTGATTTTTCCCATCTCGTATTATGTTGAAACGCAGTGGAGATGAGCAACCTTCTTTTATCCTAATTTGCTCAACTACAACATTTGAGATGTTTTTAGACAATACATCATGAAAACTATTCACAATGCATTATTTAGTGAAAACGACGACTTTATGTTACAAAACATCGCAACCCGTCGTACCTATCGGTATTTTCATGAAGTGGTTTGAGAGAAAAGATACTTTCGCAGATAACGGGAATCATAAGTAAGGAAGGATAATTTTCATGAGTGTAAGATTAATTAACATTCCAATTAAGAATACGAACTGGTCGACCTCCAAATATTATTATAAGTGGTAAATAGTAAATACCAAGCCAGTTGTTGTCTGTACCAGAGGAGATTACCTCTCCAGTTGGCTGTTGCTAGGCGAGGTCAGGTAGGTGATGTCACAATTAAATTACAATGACTCCTAGTGAAACAGGTTGAACAACCCAGTAATCATGTATCTCCATTGCACAGAGTAAAAACTCTTTAGCCTGCCGTCAAATAGTTAATATTCAATCATTTTTGTGAAAAAACGAGTCGCAGTCAGAGTCAAAACTTGATTTCAGCTCAACTAATGCATTATCAATAATATCATTACTTTAAATGTGCAAATCTTTGTTTAAAGGTGTAAATCGTTTACAACTTCCAAACATAGGTGGCGCAAGGGGTGTGAATCAATAATTTCTCCAAAATAATGAAATTCCATGTGTCATTTTTATTTTGATGAATACTATGAAGCTAAGTTGGTTTGAAGGATAAATTCTGTTGAAATGAATTTTTTAAATCATTGTGACTTTTTCATACAAATGAATATATCTAAATATAAATGATTTTTCTTTAGAATTATACAAAATAGAAGCTTTGTATTTTCACTCTCAAATAGTTTTTAATTAACAAAATTCAGGCAAAATTGTTCCATCCCGGGGCAGTCCACACAATTATCAATTATGAATTGAGCCATCGCGTAAACCGAAACGTAACTACATTTCATTACTTCTCAGCTGAAAGAAAGCGATGGGTATTCATGATGCTATTTAAAGCTTACGGTGGCTCTCGTGGTCCAATCGGCCTCTGGCCTAATTAAAATACCTGAAATTATTAATTAATTATACCAGACATATATTTTATATGACTCTGATTATCCATTTTCTGAATTCTGTGGCAAATGGAAACGTCCAATGTGAATGTCTCAGTGTCAGGTTTGTTGGTATCTGGATCACATCGGATAAGTGACCAGACAATTCGTAACAATTAAGGGCCTTAAGGTGGATCAGCACGATGTGAATTTTCTCGATTGTAAAAAACAATAATTATCAAATGGTTAATATTTCTCACATATTTTGAAATACAATATCTCGAATTTCTTTTTGACATGAAATTAAAAAAACGTGGCTCCAATTTGCTAGATGAAAGTTACCGTTATTTCTTATAGATAAAAATATTTACACATACGCGCAATAGTATAATTATATATAATTAGTAGTCATTTTCACATAATAGAAGCGTACGTATATGACTTCTTCTTAAACTGATGCAGTCGGACAATGACTGGATTTTTTATTATTGTTTTCTTCATTTTGAAACCAAAACACATTTCTTGATACCTTCTACGTGACATATCCATTACTTTCAAGGGTTTTAGAATACATGGATAAAACTACTGTAAGTTGATTTAAAATCATTGTGTTCTATTCTGACAGTTGGTTGTTCTGTTGGTTGTCCTGTCGATTTTCTCTATATCTGTTAGCGATTCTGTATGTCCATAAGTTTTCTCAAGAGATATCTAAGATCTGTAAGATATTATATTATGAGCAATAAATGAGCAAAAAATATAGGTGACTGTCTCGCTTTAAAATGTAAAAAATAACCATACATAAAGATTTACTTAGGTACATACATTTTTTATCTATCGTAATTCTCTGAATTGAAGATATGAAATGCTAAATAGACAACTTTGCAACAAGTGAACCTCCATCAACATTCTAAGATCATTAGTTGATACTCTTACCTTTCCAATGGTGTTAATATAGGAACCTTTGGGCAAATCGCGTCATTTATTTCAACTTAACATGGACTTTGATTCTTTTAAGCAATCGTTTGCTCAGCTAGAATGTATTTTAAGGCTTTCAGCTGTAAATAGAGACGATTAGAGGAACTCATAAATTGTGCTGTAGAAATTGTTATAATCCTCGTTTGTTTTTGCCAAGATAACAGAAGTTACAGAACATTACAAGGCTTACATACCTGACTTGAGAAGCGTTTCCCTTCTCGCCAGAAATAACAACTGGTTTAATGTAGAACTTGGAGGTTCAAGTCCCAGAGCTATGGCGGATCCGGGGGGGGGGGGGCATGGGGCCCGCCCCCCCCCCCCCTAACGTTGGCCCAGAAAAAAAAAGTTGGGCCCAAAAAAATTAAGGCCCCAAAAGGTGGGCCTTTTGGTCATTATTGGGCCTTCTTAGGCCTTATTTTTTTAATTTTAGGCCAAATTTTGAAGAAAATGGGCCTCAAATTTTCAAAATTTGGGCCCACTTTTCGATTTTAGGGGCCCAAAATGTTTTTCTCTGACCTCAAATTTGGGCCCCCCCCCCTGTTGGTTCCTGGATCCGCCACTGCAGAGAAACAGACTAGTTTATGAAAGTGCATATCTCAACTGCAGGTCTAAATCTAAATGGGATGTCTAGGAGTGAAGCATTTTTGACCTTTCGTATTTGGCAGAGCAGCTGCGTATTGTCGTTACTCACTCAAGTGTAATTATACGTTATTAAACAGTTATGAAATATTAAGTTTATTCACTTACTTGCGCAATCTCATCTTCAGCTTGATCATGACGCGTGGAATGAAGAGTTGTTTTTCAGAAGAGCTGGTTTTACGAAACCAAAAGTGTTCATGATTGTCTAACATAATAAAATGACGCGTCTAATTTAAAGAGTCAAAGCTGCCTTTACGAAACCCAAAAAATGCATTATTGCTAAACATTATGAAGAGCTAAAGAAATAAGTGCATCAGTGTGATCATTTGTTTAGGTTCAGTTTGACTTTTCATCTGTGGCAATGCCGATTTGAGATTTGTTTGTTTACAAGTCAGAAGCATAAGTTTTACTATTTTCAAACACAGCTGTGAGGAATTGAACCCAGAAGCTCTCTTAACAGACAATCGACAACTTTATCCTTCACTGGCAGTTGATCGTTCGTGATCTTTCACTTGCGTGCTGTTGAACTTGAAAACAAACCAGTATAAATATGGAAAAGATTGGCGAGCCGTATCTATATCTCTCCCCCAGGGACTAACTGCTATATCTACCAGGTATTTACGTACAGTTATACAGCACTGTCGAAGTGTGACGTCTTTCACAAGTAGAGTTGCAATACACATCATTTATGGACCCTGGGCAGATGACATGGTCATATTGGTCATTGAACTTCTGAAATGGTGGCTGAAAATACTGACCAGACCGTTTGATAGTAAAGAGTCAGATATATTGTGAAGCGAGTGGATTAATGGATTAACTCACATCAGGCCTATTTAATTTACACCTGGTTTTGGATTTTGAGATTTAGATAATATATGAAGTATCTGGAATTAAAGTGGACCTAACATTTATACCTAAAGCATAACAACATATCTTAGGCCTACTAACTAGGCCTACCATCATAAGGATGTACAGTAACTGTACCTATTCGATTCCGTAACTTAGCAAGGCCTAAAAACTTTAAATGCAAGTGTTACACGAGGTCTCCCTACACACGGAGTATTAATAATTTATAATAATATTCATCAGAACCCAGACATACAGACGTATACAGCATTATAAAAGTGGAACCTCACATAGACAAACCTTCTGACGATATCCAAGAAGCCAAGGATGCAGAGCCAAAGAGGAGACGAAACGCCTCACTTTAACTGGGTCTGCTATGATGATCAACGACGAAAAGTAAGAGAATGACAGAAAATGAAGGGTTTAATGAGAATAGCAGTGATAACTTTCATAGTTCATGCTGAGGAGTCTGGATATTGACAAGGGGTGATAAGATTCAAATCTCGCGGAGATCTAAAAAATGGGCAGCTTATGACGCTGTTTCTTCCAGAAAGATAATTTTCCTTCAAATATTAAACATAATTTGAAAATGGAGTCTAACAAGCTCGTTTTTGTCACAAAACTAGGGTATACCTGAGAATGGTGGTGTTGGTGGTGGTGGTGGTGGTATGGGGGGGGGGGGTTACTACTACGACATAGCTTTCCTTTAACGTTGTATTGAAAGTGAAATTCGTCGCGCGAATGTTCCTCAATCAAATGCAGCTGTATGAATCATGGATATAATTGTTTGATTGGGCTCTAATGTTTGTTCACTTGTAATTGTCTCTTTTGTAACCTCTATTAATGTCGGAGATTTGTTATGATTTATAATATATAATTTGAGGTTATCATTTGTATTCTCTGGTTTCAATTGGGCAAGTGCAATAACTGTTTCGTTTCTATTTCTGAGAAGCCATACAAAAAGATACGTGACGTATCAGTAAGTGGTGAGTACATCATTTTGTTAACTGCCGATGCTATCTGTTTCATTTTTTGTCGTCAACATTCGATGACTAGCATGGCATTTCATATATGTACATGCATATGTAAATAAACATCATGTACTAAATAACTTAGTTGAAGGAATTTTCTGATCTAGCCACTGTCATCATGGGTTGTCAAGGTAATCTCTTTATTGGAAATCACAGATTGTTAGAAGGAGATGCAATTAGTATCGGAGTGATCCACTCCTAGGATGAATCCTAGCGTCCACTCCCGAAAAAGTGCGAAGATAACTTGTCACCGAATCTTACATGTATTTGCGAGAAAATAGTGTTGGCTTTTACTTAGCCATGCAAAAGAGACCAACTTGGGCAAGGCTAGCTTTTACTGAAAAATAAGATTGTTTTGTGAACTAAGTATGCCACGTTTAAAGTTGAAATAAATGATCATCTAGGAAGTTTACAGGGTAAGTGCGGATGGAGTTATCTCATACAATATTTCCGAATACATCGTTCAGGTTAGTTGGTTGGCATGCATTTCTTAACGGTCGTTTATCCCATTTAGAACATGAACACCTAAGATAGTGTTTATAGTTCGACACCATCGCCCACACTTACTATCTCCCTTTTACTGACATACCACATGTCTGGAATAAAAAAATATGTGGTAGGAATAATACCTAGGACTAGGGACTTCAAGATCTGCAAGATTTCAGTATTTTTGCTTAGTTTGTGAGTGATGAGACATGTCTGTCTTGAACTTGAAACTGTAATCGTTTCACCCAGAGCAAGAACAAGGTGAGTAAGTGGGCCTTTGATGCTTCTTCTAACCGTCTGATTTGTTTGAAATATCGGGGCTAGATAACCTGTGTTTATGTGAAAAGGAATGTTTGGAGGCCGATGGGTTGCCGTAACTCAGAGTTCTTCCCACGTTCGTTGTGCAGGTGCAATGCATTGGTTAAAATAACAAAAATGTTAGTCAAAAAACTTATAAACAAAAGACTTTGAATATGATGTCTGTCAAAATAAGTTATTCAGGGGCCGTGCATTCGTAAGACCATCATTCGGATAAATTTTATCTTTGGGATTTTGGGGATTCTTTTACAAGTACGGGGCTCGTACTTGATACATTTTCTTGATAATCCTTTGGGATTCTTTTGAAATTTCACACATGTGAGTCATAAATTATGTCACGAATTTAAGCTTGCATGTTTTAGCATCCAAAGTAAGTTCGATGGCGAGTCACAAAAGGATTGGTATTGCATGGCTCAGATAAAGTCCAAAAATATCATTGCAGAATGTATTTCAGTGGTAGCCAAAATGGGCTGGATTGAACCACAGGTTTGAATTCCAGTCTGCACATAGTACTCCGGATACAAAAGAATACGTGACCAAAACAGGCTGATTCAAAAGAAAATTTATTGTAATTTATTTCCTTGTTCTAAACTATATTTTATTGTAGGATAATTCCAATTGTCTTTGTACGATTTATGCTATAATATTTTCATTTGCAAAGGTTCAGTTGCTCCAACTTCATCTGTTAACCGCCTTAGAAAATATTGACGAATTGAGTGTCAAGGTCAACAATCATGCCGTTCAGAATTTTTGAAATCACTATATATATTTAAGGAAAAAAGTTTCATATGTCTCCGGGCATGGCAAGGAAAAAAGTGAGTCAGAATGCTTAGAAAGTTGACGTTTTGATCTCTTATAACAAGACGACGTTTTTTCCTTTCAGAAGTTCCAACAAGACCCTAAAGGTACGATGGGGAAGGGCGAGAAGGGAAAGAAGAAGGGCGCCAAGATGGCCACCACGGGACTCGACATGGAGGAGGATGCCCTTCATCTCAACATGGTATTTTTGATTAAACAATATTAGTAATCGTGCAATCATTTTAAGTATAGACATTAAAAGTAATCACAGAGTTTATGTCATCCGATAGCGCGATAAATCATTAACTCAATTCTGCTGGAAAAAACACACTTGTAGTCTTGCATCAAGACAGTGGACCCTCCCACCTTATATACTTCTCCGACACATTACACTGCTGAAAAGAAGATAGAGGGGGGGGGGGCTAGGTTCTTGAAGCAAGATTTGACACTTGCTCTCACTCTAGCCAATGCAAATTGTAAATCTGGTCTCTCATAATAACAGTAACAAGGTGGGTATAGGTAACGCGGCGCAGTCAAGCATATCTGTTCAAAACGAGGCTGCAACGCGGTAAAGACACAAAATGGAGGCAACTCCAATTATCGGAGGCACTTCGTCCTCTGTTTCCTCGAAACATAGGTAAGTTTTTGAAAACTCATGCTTCACACTCGGTGATCAACCCCTTAAGGTATGTAAAGCTATAAGAATTTCTGTTCAGGCATTGACCAGAGTAAAGAAATAGTCAACGCAGATATGATTTCCCGATCCTATTTCTCTTGACCTATCTTCTTATTCCAATTAAGGAGGTATTTCGCCACTCATGAGCAAATTTAACATTGACATTCAATAGCCTGATACTTATAGAATGTACAATACAAATTAAGATTGAAACTTTTGTTTATTTTCATCGCAATCTGCTTACAAAATTGAACTAGCCGGAAACACGGCGCAGTCATTTTCAGCAATTATGGCAACGCGTCGACAGCATAGATTAAATTGTATTGCAACGCGGTGCAGGCATCAACTTTCTCTGTATTGTAAAGTACAAAGAAGTTTTGCATTATGCTTTTCTGTCGAGGATTTTGATTTAATAAGGCATGTGACTTTTTCAGAAAAAGATCAAGCAATAGATAGAGAATGCTTTGATAATGTAATTATCGTACACGATAGAACATCAGCTGCATTGCTGTCACTGCGTTTCCAGTTTTGTCAAATATGTATGATGTCTGAACCCGCGTTGCCGAAGTGTCTGAACTGCGTTTCCAAAATATACCTGGTTTTCCACCCAGAATCGGTTAACAGAAGGCAAACAGTGATGAAACTTTGAAGAAATAGAGATTACCGTGGGAAATACGTGATTTAATAGATATGTGTCAAGTGACAAAGTCAAAAACATAGAATTTAAGCTAGAAAAATGCCACAATTGTCAAATTTCAGTAAGTGATTGACTTTGATTGACTTGGAATGTATTTCCCTGATTGACTAAATTTCAAGAAGCTTCACATAGACATACTCTGTGAAGTTCTCCACCGAATGGTATATGCTATTATAACTGTAGCAGAGACAAACTAGTGTATGAAGCTTATGAATAAACTTACCACCCTTTCGACCTTCCACTGAGTGGCCATTTTGTGTCTTTGCCGCGTTGCAGCCTCGTTTTGAACAGATATGCTTGACTGCGCCGCGTTACCTCTGACCACGGTGAGTAAGACATTCTATATCACGTTGTGCCCAGAACATGAGTTCTTTGGTTTTGAGTCCTTCATTTGAGTGGATGATTTTGTCGATTTAAGTACAGTACTCTTTGAAATGAAAGCATCATTTGTTTCTTATCACCGTTCGCTTCAGGCTGAATTTAACTGAATGTATTTAACAGAAAGTAATTGATATAACGAGCACAACTAAACATCTAGATTGTGCAATTAATTCCAATTGTTATCGTAAGTGTACTCTTGGGTCGCTCACAAATGTCACACAAGAATACAAAGCATTCACAGTTGCAGTTTTAAACTCCAACAAGAATATTCCAACTTAACACGTCATGGCATCTTAATATTTTAGTTGTCTGAAGAACTGGAAGATTTCCTGTACGCTGCGGAGTTTGGGGACACTCCTACTATACGGCGTATGCTGCATGACTTCCCCGACATTGACGTCAATGCTTCTGACATATTGGGACGCTCAGCACTGAGGCTTGCTGTGGGGAATGAACACTTAGAGGTACTGAAATCATTAAAATTATGAAGACATGTCTTTTGTAGTTCCTGATAATTCATGCCTTTATCAACATTTAAAAATATGATCATTTTATCAAAACCTTTTGCTTCGTTCCAGATAGTTGAGCTACTTCTTGACAAATCAAACGTTGGGAACGTCTACGAGGCCCTCCTCCTGGCCATAAACAGCGACCATGAGCAGATAGCTGAGGCTATACTCAGACATCCGTCCTATGACAAAATAGCAAAGACGATTCGTGTCATGGGACAAAGTGATATATTTTACAGCGCTCTAAGCGATCTTGATTCTCAATTCTCTGCTGATATCACCCCTCTGATCTTAGCTGCCCAGAGGAACCAGTATGGGATCGTGCAGTACCTCCTGATGAGGGGGGACACGATAATACCTCCACATAGTTACAACTGTTGTTGCACTGAATGCACCGAGAAAGTCGAACTTGACCAACTTCGCTACTCGAAAATGCGACTGAACAATTACAAAGGTCTCGCAAGTGAAGCGTATATCTCACTGTCCAGCAAGGATCCCATACTTACTGCATTTCAGCTTGGACGTGAGCTGAAAAATGTTGCTAATTTTGAAAAGTACTTTAAGGTTAGATCTTTACGTGGTTTATCAAATTTAGTATAAGACTAATATTTTTGTTTCTTATCTTTGCATCCTTAATGTCAAAGTAAGTTGTTTTTAAATGTACAACATGGAGAAACAGCCAAAACGGCTCAAAATAGTTCAGTCTTTCTGTACAACGTAGGAACTCTTCTACTTTGACGCGTTTTCATTTTCTAACGTTTTAGCAAAGTATTCATAGCATCCGAAAAATTGTAATTGTAATTTCACATTGTTAGCTTCAATATGGTTGTGACATCAGTTCAGAATCCAAAACGCTTCTTTCCAGACGGAATACCTCCAGCTGGCTGCGGGGTTGAGTGATTATGTTGTGAAACTATTAGATAAAGTAAGGAGCCATGAGGAACTTGAGACTATACTAAATGAAACAAATGGTAGCACTTTGGGCAAACGAGAAAAACTTGCCAGATTAAAACTAGCTATTTTTTACGATGAGAAAAAGGTAAGCAATTCAATAATATAGTGTTGTTATGACTACTGTGACACAAAAATGCCACCCACCCACATAATGTTGCATAACTTTGTTGTCTGCACAAATTCTGGCTTGGTTTTTGGCATATTAAAACTAGACTGTGTTGAAACTCCACAAGAAGTTTCAGATGACTAGATCAACTACATTCAGATAGCATGCAGACAAAAAGTTATTCAACATTTTAGCATTTTTGTGTCACCGTGTATTTAGTATTATTATGACTAAATTATATTATTGCCATTATGACTTCATTGCATCAAAATGACTAATGGCGTGTTTTTCCGACTAATGGTTTTTACGACTTTATTGTGTCACCATCGTATTTTTATTATGGCTATGTTGTGTTATGCCTATATATTGCTATTACTCCTGCATTCTGTTATTATGACTATACAATTCATGATTATATTATTATGACTTTATTGTGTAATAATGACTATATTGTGTGTTCAACTTTATATTGTCTATGATTCTATCTATAATGTGTCATTATGCCTTATAATAACTATATAATCGTGTTATGACTTAATAGAAGCAGTGTCTTAGATCATGTTCTCCATCTAGCATTTACCCCTAAAACTTACTTCAGTTTACAGCCCACGCAACATGTCAACAGAAGCTAGTCAGTATATGGTATGCCGGGATGTTGAACATTGAACGAAAGGGGGCAATGATGAAATTCTTCTTGCACCTGGGGCATATTTTGCTCCTGCCATTTTTGACGTTGGCTTACTGGATTGCTCCTAAGACAAAGGTAATATATAATAGTGCCATGCATGCTGTGTCTTAACTAAGTTAACTAGTTTCATTAATAGAGAGATTTCGCACGGCGTGAAAGTACAACTTATAACGCATACTTATACTTATAAGCAAACGTACAAGGTGTTTCATAATGTGGGCTTTTCGTCAGGAAAGATCTTCTCGGACTGTAATAAATACAGGTCAAAAGGATGCCATTTGTACATTCTTGAATTGTAGCATGTTTAGTTGATCCAAATGTGTTTGTCTAGAATAAAATAGGCTCATATATAGTACGTATGTTATAGACCTATCTCTTCTCAAATTGACTTTTTGAGATGCTTGTTATGAAACACCCTGTATTCCATTTGTTGAGCTACTGAATGGGTCGTTTCCAGGAATTGCTAGAACCTACTGGTTTGATTGCTGTTTCAAATTGATGGTTAAAGTATTTGATTGGATACTGTTCCTACTCAGCCAATTGTTTTTAAAAATACTTGCGGTCAATTGTTCCACACACATGCGGGTAAAGCTTTATACGGAGATCCAACTGTATACGTTTATCATCTCGTATATATACCGTTTTGTAAGTTCATTGAACTTATACTGATCATGAAAACTTTGAAATAATCAACTTGTTTATGTAATGACTCACTTTAAAGGATCATGACTCACTTTAAAGGATCGTGTTTATAATACACTACAACTACTAGGACACGGAAGCAAGCATTTAAGTATAATGTGCATAATCTACACGTGCAGATGACAGTGCATTAACAGTCTCTAGTTGATGGAGCTTTTCTATATCGGGAATAGTTATGTTCTATTAAGTACAATTTGAAATTGATTTTAGTAAATATAATAGTTCGACATGACCCTTTAAAGTATACGTATACGTATAAGTTGTACTTTCACTTATGTGCGAAATCTCTCTAATATGTATCTTTCAGTCTTTACATGGATTACATATATAAAGTTCATATTATATTGTATATATTCTATATTGTTTTCAAAGGAAATACAGATCAAATTAAAAGAAAATTAAAAACTAATTCTCATTGCTCAATGTTCCGTGTCGCACTTGTAAGATACAATTGTTTCTATCGCAGTCGAAAACCCAAGTTTACGTAATAAATGCATTAGACGTATACTCCTCAAATTTGCAGGTGTCACGACCATGATATTCCATATAAACAGGCACGTCCGCCTTTTGTCAAACAAGTCAGGTGTTGAAATCAAATATGAGCCAGTCAATGTCATTTTCTCTGTCATTTTCCTATCTCATTTGCCATTGCATTGTTCTTACTCCGGAACGTTTCCCATATATAAATTCAGTTGTAAAACGCTCCGGAGTGGTTTGGATTGTACCGTCTAGGCTATATCTAAATTACACAAATCTCGTTCTAATTAATACTTTTCTTTGTATGTTTTTTTCTCAGTCGAGACATGGCCTATTTAATTTGCTTCATGATTATTTGTTTTAGATTGGACGGTATCTGAGTTATCCATATATGAAGTTTATGGCAAACACCGTTTCTTACATGATCTTCCTAGCCTTGATCGTTGTATTCAGCTTAACCGAATCACCAGCGGATGAATATACGTTTTCACAACAACCTGGTGTAAAAGAGTTCTACAAGGAATACACCAACAAATCGTACAACACAAATGGCGTTTTCCTGGATGATTTCTATGTCAGACCGCATTTGCCAAACGTGATGGACTATATACTGAGCGTCTGGGTTGTGGGTTAGTCAGCGGATTTTTTAAATACTCGCCCACTGTCTTTAAATAAATGTAAAACAATACAATATATAACATAACAATGAAGTAAAGTACATGTATAGTGTAGCGCAATGCAACAAAATTTAATGAATTTTAATGCAAATATATTGCTTTCTGTCAAAACTTCATTTCGGTTCATGTGTAAACTCTTGAGAAAATTCATGCATAATTTGAATTGTATAAAACCTTCTAAACAAAACACCCACACATATGTCTTTCTAGGTCTGGTGTGGCAAGAATGCAAGCAGCTGTACGGAGAGGGGCTGGAAGGCTTTGTTGACTCCTGGTTCAACCTTATGGATTTTTCAATGTTGACTGGCTACTTAGCTTCATTTGTGCTTCGGTTTCTGGTCCGAATAAAGGTATGATTTCCTAGCCTTTTGATGAGAATTTTAGTTCTTATAGTTTCTAGACAGGGACCAACTTTTTGTATTTATAACTTTTGTTTTTATGATACCATCCGTTAAACATCAGTGAATGATGTCATAGTGAATCTATATCATTAACATACTTATTTAGAAAGTTACAGCTATTTCTTAAGAGGATTTTTTTTATATATAATGGCAAATGTAACTAATGAGTCAATGTTTCACATTTCTCTTTGACCTCTTGCTACAAATCAATGGTAAACATGCTTAAACCTTAATTAGAATAAAGATTGTATTTATTGGATCATTAACTACACATTTAGCAAACGTGTTGCCGTTTGATTTCAAATTTAAGTTTCAAACATGATTTTTTACAAAAGCAAATTGCTCATAATATGATATATTAATAGCAGGTCTCTTGGTTTCATACTCTCTTAAAACCCTCTGAAAGTAATGTTGCTCTAAACAGTCTAGTGCAAAATGCTGAAAACTCAAATGCAGTTTATTCACAAAGAGATGCGGGTCCGTTGCCATATAATGGAGGTCTCGTATTCCCATAATGCATATAGCTTTATTCCATTTACCGTTACAAGGGCCGTTTGGATACCAGTGTCTATTGGCCCAATGTTTCCATCGTGCAAGAAATGGATACGAATGAAAATTTGTTTCTGGTATACCTGAAAAAGGAAATCATGACTTGTGATACTGATAGATTATACAAAATGAATCATAGGAAGTCAGTTATGTCTATTGTGCATCATTTTGATCTAGTAAAACATTATTCCGTTCTCCACTGGGGAACCTTTTCAGTTTTTTGGGTTTTTGTTATTTAGCAGTAATGTTTTACATGTAATATATCATCCGGGTATATCATATTACATGCGTTGGACATTCTTTTGGATGTATAGAGCTTTACTACAATATCTATTATTATAAAAAGCATGGCGTATTTGATTCTTATTTAATTCTAATTTACGTTCCCAACGTGAATTTTTATAATGCTCATAATATCTGGGATGTATAGTACATATAGAACTATGTTAGATAAGGGTGATGATGTCATTTGAAAAGCACAGAGAATTTTCTTTTTCTTGGCAACATACCTTTATAAGCACCTGGAACTCCCAATTGTGGATTATGGTTCAGTGCTGTGAAAAACGTTTCATCTGGAATTGCAGTGCCTTTCACCCATTCTAAAAATATTTTCGAGATATTGCTATGGAGCACGAAATCTACAAAGTTCCTTGTAGCAACTATATGGACCTCTCCCTTCGTCATTGTCATATTTAATTGTAGCTTCTCAAGACCAGCCTGACGACCCCAACGTCGGGAAACTGCTCTGCAACGAAAACAATGTGAAAATATTATGTCATATATTGTAATGTATAATGTAATGTATAAATGTTCATAAAGTCAGCTATGAAAAGCCAAAGTGCACCTGAAATGACCCTTAAGATCGTTTTCTTACTTTTCGACGGTTCCTTTCATATTGTTTGAACCATTGAACGCCTTAAGAATATGAACCAATTCAAGATTAGTTCTCATTGGAAACTCCTGCCCAGTTAAATTGATGTAGTATTTCCATTTCTTTTTCTTGAACAAGTCTCTCATACATATTAAGTTTGCATTTAAAACGCTAAAAGCGCCCCAACGTACACCAATACGTGTTGATGCTGTTTCGACGTTAGGTAGGCATGATGCGATCCCTTGAACACCTTCAAACAGCTCGCTGCCTGACTTTTGGTCAACATGTATACAATAGTAATTCCAAGGACGATATATCGCCCTGAGTAACCGTTCCATTTGTTCTATATCTTTGTACATTATAATATCAAAAGCGATTGGAAAGTCGAATTCCAATTTGGATGTAGGTTTCATAATGTACCGCCTTGTTTGATGGAATTCAATGCAAGAATTAGTTAGGTTTTTGTAAACCGTCGGCGCAACGCCAACTTTTACAGTGGCATTTAGTTCGTCAATTGCCTGCTGAATAGCATCTTTGTTATTTTGTAGTATACCAGGACAACTAACATCTGGTACTTTTGATACAGGGATCCCCTTTTCATGTTGACTCGTCAGGTTTAATGTGATCACAGTTAGGTTGATTCCTTTCTCGCATACAATGTGCTGCTTAAACATCCGGGAAATTTCACTCTGTCCATTCAAAGTAGCGTTTGAATCACTATTGATTATCCCCGTGTCAATGTCTTCGTCAGTCAGATACATCATGATCGTGATAAAAAATGCAGCCCAACATACAATATATATTAAGTTTCCTCTAAAATAAGCAACAGCCATTTCTTATCTTTGTCTAGAAAATTATTTTTGCCAGCTGAAAGTCGTTTTCAAACTGGTTTCAAATAATTCAAGGAAGCGCTAATGTGTTTTACATCCCACATATTGTTTTAACAGGTCGCCATGTTGCCGTTATGGCATCAACAACAATGAGATTCAGAATTTTAATACACAATATAATATGTAAAATATATGCAACAATAAATATGATGAATACATTACTGTTCACGTGGTACATCACGCCCAGAAGCACATGGTCAAGAGTTCAAAACAATTTTTTTTCGAATTTTGAAGATTTAAAATATGGGTTAATGTCTACCAATTTCCAGGCGACACAATATCTATATATCTGTATGTAAAATTACCATGATTTGGTTGTAGGTTACTATGGCTTTGGATTTCTTCACACATCGCTCATCTTGGGAGTCACTTGTGAATGGGGACCCTCGCTCTGTTTACAAACAATATTGGCTAATTGCAGGTGGGAACTTTATAAGTTTACACAAAGGGTCACAAAATAGACCGATAGAAACTATAATCCCTACAAACAATACCAACCAATCAGTCCAATCATCTGAAAAATACTATAGGGCAGCATTTAAACATTTTATAAGTTGTTAAAATATTTTTTTTATTGAAAATTATTCCAAGCATAAATGCCATCAATATTGGTCAACATCTTGATCTAACAGCTGTAGTAATATAAACGAGGGGTGATCAATAAGTAATGGGCGCTTTTTAACACGGATGCGTCACTCCATTACGTATTGATCACCCCTCGTACTTCTATTGTATAATAAATCAACAATGTAGAAGACGGAATGTTCCATTGTGTTTTAGATCGTTATTACTGGAATGCCTGGGACCCTCAGCATGTATGTGAGGGATTATTTGCTATAGCAAATGTACTGAGCTTTTCTCGAATCTCATCAATTCTTTCCACCAGTGATGTATTCGGCCCATTGCAGAGATCACTTGGGAGGATGGTCTCAGTAAGTATACAATAAACGTAGAGTAAGTATACAATAAATAATCAGAGTACAATAAAAGTATACATGTATGTTTACATTTGGACACTCGATCTAGAAGTAGACAGTTATAGAGCAGGACATAAACAAGTGTAAATCAAGAACCATCAGATGTCATACATTAAAGAATCTAGAAGTATTCCCTGCTAATTTAAATTTTGCTATGTATAAGAGATAATGGTGTACTTCTATAAACTGCTAAGGCGCCTCCATTTTGATGATAAACTGCATGTTGAACATGGCATGTGCACAACTAAGCTTTTTGGACATAGGACCTAGTTACTAATACCCGAAAGTTTTGTTTTACAATAACTTATGACTTATAAGTAGTCTGATTTATTTAACAGTAGTTGAATCCGCATAGCTACTTAGTAAATCTATAAGTTATAAGTTTATTTATAACAAAAGCGATATAATTATAACATTTACATGCTTCATTAACCAAAGATATTACTGAACTTTATTTGATAATATATTGAATTTGTATTATATAGTTGCATTTGAAGTAAACGAACCAGTTAAATTTTTAGTTGATGATACCAAACCTATGCAGTCTTTTACCCAAAACAACCTTAACCATAGTATTGATTCCAATAGTATAAGTGATCAAGGGTAGATGTCTAGTAGTCATAGTTGGATTAATATTAGCTTATAGAATAATCATCTCGCTTACATTACAATATAATGCATATGTGCAAGTGCCACATATGTCCTATGCATAAACTCTATTATAATGCTAATAACAGTATTTATAAGAATGAACATACTTAGATTTTAAATTATCTTCTTTTGCATGTAAATCTCTTTATTATTAGGACCTGTTAAAGTTTTTCATAGTAGCTGGCTTGGTATTTCTGGCATTCATGATAGCATTGTTCAACCTGTTCTGGTACTATGATGACGCCACAAGGAGAAGCGCAGAGATGCCCAAAGCACACCCTCATGAGATCACCAATGCACAATTGTCATTTGGGGAGTAAGTTTCAGCTTATGATTCAGATCGCTACCACTAGTCTGATTTGAACTTCGTAAATGTTTGGGATGGGCCATTAAATATAATTCAGTTATCATTCTCATAATTCTTTCTGTTATATAATTAGCCCACTCTTACACTCTGAAATGAGTACAGTGTGACCAGATGATAATGTAAAATAAACTAAAATGTCCATGATATCCATTGAAATTGTGGGAACTACAGATGATCTGACACTAAAGTATCTCAACTTATGACTTTCCTGAAAATGTTCAAACATATGACAAATAATCCTTTATTTTAATATGGGACCAGATCTCATGAATTAGAATCATGCTTCACTCAAATTTGAAATCATTACTGACTGATTGGATTCCCAAAAATATTTTAAATTAAGTGGGTTCTATCACAGTCTTGCTCGTTTTGGAATGATTTTGGCCCTGGATGTACATGGCTAATCCATAAGCAAATCACCCCACAATATGGCACTTAGACTTGGGCAATGGGGCAAGAATATCATCTCTTAGATATAGTTTATTTTTAATCAATGATTGTTACAGTTTACTGTAGTTTGTAGTAACCAATAAACGCTACCATATGTGATGTTTCGTGTAATGAATGCTGTTGATATCGAGTGACATTCCTTAACATCCTCCAAAGCAGGTGTACACAATTCGTCCCTCTAGTAAAGATGAAGAAGGTATTCTGGATCTTGAGATCTTGCTTATGGAGGATGTTCCTTAGCTTCCATACATTTTCTTTGCTTGCTAAAAACCTGTTGCTGCTTTGAGAGTTATTTACATCGTTACGTTTACTTTTAGTGTGTCTTTCATTTTTTATTTAACTATTCTTTGCCTGGTTTGTGGTGGTTTAGTTGCATATGTTATGGCTTGGTTGACATGGTTTCCATTGTTTGTACTATATGATCTGATTATCTCTACTTAATGATTCTGATTTCCGACTTGTATCAAGGGTCAATTGATTTTAGGATGTGATGAAATTTTGCTCAATATTTTTCCTGGTGTTCGCATCATACATGTTGGCATTGTACAACCTCTATTGGTACTATTCAACTACAGTGCGTAGCAAGGCAGAATTAAAGGATCATGGTATTGAGACTTCAGCTGAAGGAGGTTTTGGAGAGTAAGTAAACAGGTTGATTGTACCCAAGCCCCTCACTTCCTTGGTTGTGATATATGGTTTTCAATTCAAGTGAAGCACAATGCTTACGGGGAAACTATTCTAGTATTACCAGCAAGTGCACGAGGGGCAACCTGTAGATCCCTTTTCTACATTGTCTTCTCTAGAACTAGTTATTACCCCTTTTGGTACTTGAGTGCGAAGTTTTTGTGATAGTATCTCATAGTTGTAAGTATTGCCTAGTCTGCTCTTCAATATGCAATTCTGACCCAACCATTGGTTCAACGTCCAATATCTCAACGCAATGGGTTTATTGAACTCAGGCATATTCACTTCGCCTTAAATGCTATGATTAAATGCTATGAAAATATCAAAGGTAATTGTTTTTTAGGTTTGAGTTAACATTCCGGACTGTGTTTTGGTCACTGTTTGGCATGACAGATGCAGACGTGGTTGAACTGCAGGAATACGACAGCAAATTTACAACTAGTGTTGGTTACATATTATTTGGTGCCTATAACTGTACAATGGTCATCGTTATATTGAATATGCTTATTGCTATGATGGCTAGATCGTACGACCAAGTCGCAGTAAGTATACGTTCGTTTATATCGTGTATACTTCGATTGATTTGATGCGTGTGACATCTATTGATTTATTTTGATTTGAAAAGTATAATCGGGAACATGTTGGCATTTAGGAACAGCAACCAAGGAACGGAACCGAAGTCCGGGATACATTAATTTTCATAATGTGATTTTAACCTAGCATGATAATCACACAATAAAAGAATGATTTAGAGCATTGGTATTACTTTCCAGGGAGTTGAAGACGTCGAGTGGAAGTTTGCCCGTACACAACTGTTTATGGAATTCATCAAAGAGGGTTCTACATTACCCGTACCTTTCAATATCATCCCCACTCCCAAAGCAATATATTATTTCTTTAGGAGTATATACAGGTTAGTTGTGAGACCGGGTTTGTAGTTACTGGAATATTTCGATATCTTGCATTAATGGGGAGGGGAATTCGAATATTCAGTGAGGTTTATATACCTGGAGGCTGTCGGGGTCGGTAGAATTTATAACTATGGCCCATTTCACAGTTTTATTTCGTCAGTAGAACCCCAAAAATAAGAAAACAGGAGACCATTGTGCAATAATATATGGAAAGTATATTCATATTGTACATGAATGACATTTGTTTATTTCAGATTATCTAGTTTTTTTGTGCAATAACCCTATACCCTCTTGTAATTTAAAGAAGTTCAGCCATGTTAATCTTTTTTAAATATTATGGCAGAGAAGCATCAAAATATAAGAGGCCACATACTTTACTTGTCAAAATAGAAGCAATCCGAGATATACAAATGTCATTCATGTACAATAGGAATATGTTTTCCATATATTATTGCACAATGATCTTTTGATATCTTATTTTTAGGTTTTACTAACGAAATAAAACAATTAAATGGGCTGTGAGTAAGAGTATTTTGCCCAAACAAAGGACTATCGTGATATACCACTTAGGATAACACAGTCAAATCACAGATAATCCTGATTACTGTGAAAATAACTAATTTGAGAAATGCAGTTTTAATTTCATATATAGATCATAGCACTTATTTACAAATGTATTTATCTTTTTCACTAGAACAATTCACGACTGCTGTTTTCCTAAGAAACGACAATCCAAGTTTCAGAAAAGCGCACGTGATGTACAAACAATTAAGAATATCTTAAACAATATGGGCGAAAAGGCTAAAAATACAAAGGTATGACTGGCAATAAGTATTCAAAAACATGTCATAGGAATAAATACTTTTAATAGATCAACACACCATCCGCTTTGGGTCTAAAAAAGTGACCAAAATGCGTTACCAAATGCGTGCGTATTTAATGTTCAGTTTTCACACCAGGACATTATTTTAATTCCTTTTAACATCACATTTCAGGGGAGTGATTTGCCTGATGAGGGTCCAATAAAGTTGAACAATGTTAGAAAGATTGACAATAATCTGGAACAGGAGGAAAATGTCATCAATATTGAAGATGTCCCAAACATTTCTAACCACGAGGTAGGTCTTAGTCTCGGTGCGTCAAAGACTAAGTAGGTCGTAGTCTATGTGGGTCATCATAGGTCATAATGGAAATGGTTCATAGCCAAGGCAGGTCGAAGGCTAAGTAGGTTACGGTCTATGTAGGTAATATTGGATATGTGTCATAGTCCAGGTAGAACACAGATTAAGTAGGTTATATAGTCTAATATGGTGATTGTCTTTGTATGTCATAGTTTTGAAGATTATAGCCTAGGTAGATAGGGTATTCGAATATTTGAATTTGTCAGAGTAACAATATATTGTTTTAAAATGAATGAATAATGATTATGCCTGTGTAATAAAGAGATATTATTATGATAGCATTTTGAAAGCTTATAATATTAAGGGCATCAATACAAATTTTAAAATCACCTATCATGTATAATTCCAGAGAGTCATGAAGCGCATAGTAAAGAGATTTATATTCGAGAGTCAAGCTGAAGAAGATGGGGCTACAGAGGGTGACTTCGCGGAGATCAAACAAGATATTTCTAGTTTCAGATATGACGTTTTGAATTATCTAAACTCGCAGCAACGCGTGGTAAAAGACAATAGGAAACGATTGAATGAATTGAACCAACACATAACCAATCTGGATGAAAAATTAGACTTACTACTGGATGAGAATATCATCCGGATGAAACACTTAGAAAAACTATTGACTAAGACTATGGAGAGGTCATCCTTGGCAAACGAAGGTGGAATCTCACCAGAGGATACTAAAGATTTAGGAACAGAGACATTGTCACGTTGGAAATCAAAGTCTCGTAAACCAATATTAAAATCACAGAAATCCTCATCGCTGCCAAAACTAGACAACAATAATACTGTTGATAATGATAACTTTGATCAAACGGATGATGAACTGGACCCAACTGTGTGGGTGAAACACAATAAAATGAATAGAAGGAAAGCAATGAAGCGTGTTATGAACCAGTATAGCAGTAGTGAGTGTGACAATCCTGAATCGCCCAAACCCGGGGATGGCACTAGCCCAAGTGCCGTTGACGAGGGGATTGTGGGAAAAGTTGGCATGGTGATGGATTCAATCGGTGGTCTTATTATGGGAAAAAGAACATCAACGTCTGATGTTTGAATTTAATAAGACCTGAGAATTAATCTATTATATCAGTATATATTATTTATCTGACGGTACAATAAAAAAATAAATGAACTATGCAATTATAGAAAAATATTTGTCTTTATTTTGCCTGCTATATAGTCATTGCAAAAGACCAATGAAAACTGCTGAATATTTTAAAAATAACACTCACATACTCAAGTTAAGCCAAATGATTCAATGACATTCAGATTCATCAGCTAACGCTTGGGAGAAAGAGAGTTAGTGGTGTACAAGCCCAAGCAGTATCTTACTTTCATCTAAAACAGAATGTCCTCCTTTAATTCATGTGAAAATGTTTTATCAATCTTTTTAATTTTTTCTAAAAAAATTAACCACATTTTTGTCCGCTGTGGGGGAGGAGTTTGAAATGTAAAATACATTTAGATTCCTAATATATGTTTTACAACTACACTTTAGAGGAGAGAATGTGTTTTGAAACTTCTCCCCCGTAGCGGACAAAAAATATAAACATTGATTTTTATAAAGAAAGATCCAATACCACGCCTAACCATCGACAACGCACAGTGACAAAACACGCCATCGTACACTTTAGATGTACGGTGTCACTATTAATCGATTTGAAGCAAAGACAATGATGTAGATTTAATGTAGGTTTTTAAAAATTATCTGAGGAATACCTTCGGATTTCAAATTTGATTTCATGTGTATTCGTTTGGGAAGACATTTAACTTTCTAGTAACGTTATATAATTGATCGGTTGAAAAATGTTGTTTTTTACACATTTCCTTTGATAATTCCCTTGCCTGTCGTCTAAAGTGTACGACGGTATATTTTGTAGGCGTGTGTTAAGGTACGTTCACACCAACGGCGAATGCCACGCTTTAAATCGGCGAGCAAAGCGCCGTCATTTTTGTCATTTTTCTTCATACCAACGGCGCTTTGATGGCGCTTTAAAGCGGCTTGTAAAGCGGCACCAAAGCGTAACAAATTTTGATTAAAGCGTCGGGGTCGTAATAGGTCGTAGAAAAGCTCAGAATAAAACGGGATATTCGGCAAGAGCGCCAAAACTCTTAAAAAATTTTGGGCGCTCTGTTACGAATTGATTGAAGCGCCGAGAGCGTATCAAAGCTTAACAAACCGTAACAAAGCTCAGAAAAACTTGATCCAAAGCGTAGGAAAGCTTAACATAGCTCTAAAAGGTTCCTCATGCTTTGATCCCGCTTTGATCAGGCTTTGTTACGCTTGAAATCACGCTTTGAAAAGCTTTGATAAGCATTATTACGCTTTGATGCGATTGTGACGCTTTAAATCAGGCTCTGATACGATTGCAAAACTCTGTTGTGCAATGTTACGCTCTGTTAAGCTCTGTCACGCATTGGAAAATGTCGAGATCGCCGATTCCATGCCGCTTTTGATCCAATTACTATATAAAGATGCAGTAGATTCATAAAACCATTGCATCTTTGACTCGAGAACACGATGGCAGAACAACGAGATCCAGAAATTCCAGATGGACCAGAGCATGACCTATCTGAAGAAGACATGACGTTTGTCGCACGGCGTGATATAGCGTGTGAAAACTTTCAAGCGTAACAAAGCCTAGCAAAGCGTTTCAATCCTTGATTAAAGCGTCTCAATTCGTTGGAAAGCTTGAGAGTCCCTCAGGAAAGTGTAACAAAGAGTGTCAGATATTGATGAAAGCGTCTGACCTCGTGTCAGATCTTCATGCCAGATCGTAGCAAATCTTGAGACATCTTAACGAAGCGTGTCAAGTGGTAACAGACCGTGAATAGACTGGGGTCCCCGCTTTGAACCAAGCTGTGTTAAGCTTTCCTACGCTTTGAGTCAAGCTTTGTTGAGCTTTGTTACGGTTTGTTAAGCTTTGATACGCTCTCGGCGCTTCAATCAATTCGTAACAGAGCGCCCAAAATTTTTAAACAGTTTAACATTTTTTGGCGCTCTTGCCGAATATCCCGCTTTACTCCGAACTTTTCTACGACCTATTACGATCCCGACGCTTTAATCAAGCTTTGTTACGCTTTGGTGCCGCTTTACAATCCGCTTTAAAGCGCCATCAAAGCGCCGTTGGTGCGAACGCTAAAGGTACGTTCACACCAACGGCGAATGCCACGCTTTAAATCGGCGAGCAAAGCGCCGTCATTTTTGTCATTTTTCTTCATACCAACGGCGCTTTGGTGGCGCTTTAAAGCGGCTTGTAAAGCGGCACCAAAGCGTAACAAAGTTTGATTAAAGCGTCGGGGTCGTAATAGGTCGTAGAAAAGCTCAGAGTAAAACGGGATATTCGGCAAGAGCGCCAAAAAATTTTAAACTCTTAAAAAATTTTGGGCGCTCTGTTACGAATCGATTAAGCGCCGAGAGCGTATCAAAGCTTAACAAACCGTAACAAAGCTCAGAAAAACTTGATCCAAAGCGTAGGAAAACTTAACATAGCTCTAAAAGGTTCCTCACGCTTTGATCCCGCTTTGATCAGGCTTTGTTACGCTTGAAATCACGCTTTGAAAAGCTTTGATAAGCATTATTACGCTTTGATGCGATTATGACGCTTTAAATCAGGCTCTGATACGATTGCAAAACTCTGTTGTGCATTGTTACGCTCTGTTAAGCTCTGTCACGCATTGGAAAATGTCGAGATCGCCGATTCCATGCCGCTTTTGATCCAATGACTATATAAAGATGCAGTAGATCCATAAAACCATTGCATCTTTGACTCGAGAACACGATGGCAGAACAACGAGATCCAGAAATTCCAGATGGACCAGAGCATGACCTATCTGAAGAAGACATGACGTTTGTCGCAAGGCGTGATATAGCGTGTGAAAACTTTCAAGCGTAACAAAGCCTAGCAAAGCATTTCAATCCTTGATTAAAGCGTCTCAATTCGTTGGAAAGCTTGAGAGTCCCTCAGGAAAGTGTAACAAAGAGTGTCAGATATTGATGAAAGCGTCTGACCTCGTGTCAGATCTTCATGCCAGATCGTAGCAAATCTTGAGACATCTTAACGAAGCGTGTCAAGTGGTAACAGACCGTGAATAGACTGGGGTCCCCGCTTTGAACCAAGCTGTGTTAAGCTTTCCTACGCTTTGAGTCAAGCTTTGTTGAGCTTTGTTACGGTTTGTTAAGCTTTGATACGCTCTCGGCGCTTCAATCAATTCGTAACAGAGCGCCCAAAATTTTTAAACAGTTTAACATTTTTTGGCGCTCTTGCCGAATATCCCGCTTTACTCCGAACTTTTCTACGACCTATTACGATCCCGACGCTTTAATCAAGCTTTGTTACGCTTTGGTGCCGCTTTACAATCCGCTTTAAAGCGCCATCAAAGCGCCGTTGGTGCGAACGCTTAAATAGTTAAAAAATTTTAGCGCTCTTGCCGAATATCCCGCTTTACTCCCGAGCTTTTCTACGACCTATTACGACCCCGACGCTTTAATTAAGCTTTGTTACGCTTTGGTGCCGCTTTACAAGCCGCTTTAAAGCGCCATCAAAGCGCCGTTGGTGTGAACGTACCATTAAACAGTTTAAATTTTTTAGCGCTCTTGCCGAATATCCCGCTTCACTCCCGAGCTTTTCTACGACCTATTACGACCCCGACGCTTTAATTAAGCTTTGTTACGCTTTGGTGCCGCTTTACAAGCCGCTTTAAAGCGCCATCAAAGCGCCGTTGGTGTGAACGTACCATAAATGCCTACAGAATTATGCTGAAAACATATGTAAATATTATCATGTCACTATATCGTGCCATTAAAAAGTTACTAAGACAACACTTATCGTCATAGAATCATTGTCCTCTTTCTCAGTACTTTTGAAAAGTATCCATTAAATCTGAAACGTCCAATTTTTTCTCTGAGGTCTTTATATCTTTTCTTCAAAATACATATGTCATCTCCAACGTTCCCTTTCAAATGCCGATACCTTACTTAAGAACATTTTGTTGACGTGCCTTTGCAGCAGTTTTCAGTTTTTGCTTATCCAAAATATCACTTGCTTCCTTGTATTCCTTCTCCACAGCAGCGCGTACACGTTCAGGATGACATATATCCAAAGGTGTACGCATGGCAGGTGAATGAGATCGCACTCGCGCGTTTCGTATGCTCAAATGAGATGGCTGTCTCTGCATCAAGTTGTTCCGGGTGTTAACAGGACTGGCTAATTGTTCTTTGTGCTCTTTGGAATAATTTGATTTTCGCCTCTTGTATTCCAATTTTTGTAGTCTCTTTTCTATTTCTTTAGATGCAGTACTGAATGTTTCAACTTTTGTATCTCTTTCAATTACTTTTGGATAAACGGGGCATTTTGTCGAATGGTCCATTTTGATCAGAATAATCGACCTCACAAGCTGTCACTACTAACTTACTACTACTATGATCTCACTGCACCGTCAGAAACCATCTGCCTCCCATTGAACTCTTGTGTGTGTGCACGTTAGCATTGACAATTGATGGATTAAAGTGAATGTCTGAAAATTGTCGTCCGAAATCTGCGCCTACATGTATGTATCCTTAAACTTTAGACATTGATTAGTGCCAAAGATAATTTTTACTTTTTCTTCTTAACTTATTTTCGCATTTGTTACCTTTATTACTAAAGGCAAAACATACAAGGTGTAGGCCTTTAACCTGGCTGCCAAGAGAAAGGATTTCAAAATATTAATAATTCTTGTGAATCATAGGGATTTTGCTATTGTTTTGTTATTCAATCAACTATGGAATATAATACTCCTACTCAAATCACATTTGGATTAAATGTTCACATTATTATAGACCGGATAAACGAACTTTATAATCTCATTCCATGTATTATTGTGAAAAAGAAACCTCAGTACTGTGTGATGTTCACCGAAACTAGGACTTGAAATGCCTCAAGCCAAAAGTATAAATCACGCCCATCAGTTCTGAATTATTTTAATACATTTTAGGGAAATATATACATGATCAGATGTTAGCCGATATTGAGAGCAGAGTTTCGGGTAATGTCTATGGATACTCCTTGACTCACATGCGATTTATTAAGTTGTGTGTTTAACCAAGGTGGTCCAACATTTAATTTTAAGTCATCTCTAAGTGTTTTCTTGTCTTTTGTTTCAATTTTAACGTTCCCAAATGCATTCCTGATGTTTACAATTTCTCAGGAAGGCGTCCAACACTGCGATCAATGATGATGTCATTGACAAACGCGTGACCATCTATCTTGGCGTACGTTGAGGAAAATCCAATGCCCCCCTCCCATTTGCCTTGTGCCCTGTCTCCCATTCTCCCATGTGATACACTGCATTCTGCTTTTTTATCATTTACAGTGTATGTCACCATCTAACGACATACTCCACGTGTTACAGTGGTTAAACCATTTTTAATGTAATGGGTCAATATTCATTGTTTTCCATTGCAATGTTAAAAATTAAGGATTTAAGCCTCGGACTCATTGTGGACTGCTTATCATTCGTCAAAGGTGTCGTTTCAAACTAAGTGAGTCCGAGTGGAATGAAAAAGTCTTGGGGTTAAATTCTTTGCACACATTGCAAAATATTTTACACAATATACTAGATTCGAAATTACTTAACAGGATATATTTTCAAGGAAACGTTTTTCAAGGTTAATTTCAACCATTCCACATTTACCATTTGGAACCGTATAAGCACTTGGTGTGTTATTCTCTATGACAGTATTTATCCTTCTAATACTCATCACATGCATCTTTCTGTCTTCAACTAGGGGAGAGCGGAGTAAGATGGAACGTCGGGTGAGACGGAACGATGGATTTTTATTGGAATATTTGTTTAAAAGAGGTTACTGAAGTAAACCTTTTTTGAAAATATATCAAGTGATCTTTCTGTTCAACCACAATTTCTTGTCGGCTGCAACTAATACTTTAATAAAAAGCCATCGTTCCGACCCCGCGTTCCATCTTACCCCACTCTCCCCTAGAAATACTAGAGTGAAGCTAATAGCCCGGCTAATAGATTATAGATTTTTACTCAACTATAAAATTGATCAGCTTTTCGGTTTCATAATTAATTTCTACAATCTAAAACAACCTTGGGTGCATTGGAGTAGAATATTGCAATATGAAATAGCGGTCTGATTGGCTGGATTGTATCATGGAGGGCCACACCTTGACTAGCTATGGATGGACATGGCGTAGAATAATGGAAATAACGTCACAACGCATGCGCGTAAATCGACATTTCATGGTCCAAAGATTTCAATGGAGAGCAGTATTCAGCAAAATTTAAAATCTTAATTACTTTTTAGCAAATCATTTATTTTCTTAGGATTCAACGGATCCTTGTTAGACCCAACGAAGTCTTCATTTTGATATATAAAACAGCAAAATCCATCCACAGATCTTTCGGCCTTTTAATGATTTAATTTTCGGGATATTTTGCTAAAATCCCCCATTGGCCGCCATTATAAACTTTGAAAAAACCCAAATCCTCATCATTTCAGAAAATTCGTTAAGTACTGTAAAACGGGTAATTTTGACACCGGGAAATTTTAGCGATTTTTCAATTTCAGGGGGTTTTAGCGCGGGAAATTTTAGCGAAATGAAGATTAATCTTTAAAAAATCAAATTAGCGAAATGCATTAGAAATTTTATCATTTATGGCAGAAGAATGAATAACGGACATGACTTTCATGTTCAATTAACACCTTTTATCTTTATATTTACTACTAATACTACTATCTAGTATTTCACTGATGGATGGCTATTTATCCTTCAGATATTGAAAGAAACATACGATTTAAAAATATTTACCTTTTTCAAATTAAAAACCGGAAGTCCAGCACTGAACGAAAAGCTCCTTAAATACTAGTATTCATGTAGTTTCCCTGGAATTTGCAAATTTTAGCGCCGGGTTTATTTTAACCCCGGTTTATTTTAGCGAATTGAATTTTTAGCGAAACTATAGCGATCGCTAACAATCGCTAACAATTACCCCTCGCTAACAATACCCGTTTTACAGTAATCTAAACAACTCCAATCGCTTAGGATTCAACGGATTCTAAGAGATCAAAGCTAATACAATATGTTGACAACCCCCGTTTCAATATTTGCCGCATAATCTTTCGGCCTTTTAGGTTATAAATTTGTCAATATTTTGATTTTTGACTATTAATGACGTACTTGGATCCGAGATTCATTGTCCCGGGATTCATGACGCTATTTCCATTATTCTACGCCATGAGTTTCATTTCATTGCATACCGGGCACGCTAGTCTTGCTTCAAGACCCTGGCCTATATCTACTGTGTTGTTAAGATAGAAGTCAGGTCAACAATCTTGACAAGATAGGATTTCGGGCACACAGAAATTGTTCTTCTGTAATCTGTGTGTAAAAATAAACTACATATCAATTTATAGATGGCAGTTTCTATTGATATCCGGTATTTCATGCGCAATTAGGATGCGCAGAAAAATGAGAAATAGTGAAGAAATTTTAACGATCAGCTGTTGGAATTTCTCTTATTATCACTCGTACAATGGAGCAATGACACCGATCAAATGGCAGTAAGGTAGTATTAGAGGGCGGGTAGGCGGCACGATGAGCTTTAATAAGCGTGGAGCCGGCTACGATGGAAAAATCGCTGGTCTGTATGACCTTCACGAAACCATCGGAAGGGGTCATTTTGCTGTTGTCAAGTTGGCAAGACATGTATTTACAAACCTTCAGGTAGCTGTCAAAATAATTGACAAAACAAAACTAGATGAAGTGTCAAAAGCTCACTTGTTCCAGGAAGTGACATGTATGAAATTAGTACAACACCCCAATGTTGTACGGCTCTATCAAGTAATCGACACACCAACAAAGTTGTACCTCATTTTGGAACTCGGTGATGGTGGAGATATGTATGACTACATCATGAAACATGATGGAGGACTAGACGAGCAAATCGCAAAACGATATTTTAAGCAAATAATCCAGGCTGTATCATATTGTCACAAGCTTCACGTTGTTCATCGAGATCTCAAGCCAGAAAATGTTGTTTTCTTTGAAAAATTAGGAATTGTGAAATTGACTGATTTTGGATTTAGTAATAAGTTTATCCCTGGCAAGGAACTTGAGACATCCTGTGGATCACTGGCTTACTCAGCCCCTGAGATATTATTGGGTGATTCTTATTCAGCTCCCGCTGTTGGTAAGTCTATTTAATAAAAGTATCGGGACTTCGCCACTTTTGAATTTCCATTATCCTTTGTAATAGGATGAAACTTGTTAGAATTGCCTTGTGGATATTGGTTATAACTGATGGGCAAATCTATCTCATATGTTTGATCTTGTGTGCAAATGATTACTTTGGAAAAATCAAAAGTGACAGAATCAAAACATGGAGATGTTAGATACTTGTCGAAATATATGTATATATCAGGTGATTCCTAATTTAGAATCATATCTTCCTTTTATTTTTATATCTTCCTTGTAGGATAATTGCCGCATCGTGATTCATCATATGACGCGAGAAAGAATTACACAAAACAACAACTGCTTTAACTTTTGAGTTTGAATGGAAGTCAATGACCTCAATAGCTACTATAACATTAACCCATATCAAAATAAATTCTGGCAAAAGTGCTATACATAAAATTGATATACTGATGTTGAGGCTATGACCTTTCAGTTTGAAATTTGTTTTTCGAATTGTTTCTATAGTTATAGAAAAATACATTTTTGTCATTGGATACGTCTTAGAACTGCACATACACAGGCATGTACATTCTATTTATTACTGTCTTTTTTATGAAAACACTTTATTTTGCCAGTTCTCATCTGAATGTTTGCTCATGTGGCCATACTACTATTTGGTATACTGTAAAGCATAGAATAGCTCTACTATATTACCAGGCACAGCTCGGAGACAATTAAATCAATACGTAATTTATAGAATGAACCTCAAAACATTCATAGCACACCACAGTTAATTGGTAGAATAAATTTCAATTGTATTTTTATTGGACATTGATATAATGTGAACTAACTGTATATGTTTTTCATTGATCTAGGTCCATGGAGAATTATAAACATGTAAATACATAATAAAGATGTCAATCATCATGAAGTAATGACATTCTGCATGTAATAATTTTTCAATGTTTGGGAAGTACTATTTATAAATAATGAAGTCATTATAAATATTCTCCTTTGGACTTAACGTAATTCAGGAATTTGAAGTTTATGTTGATCTTTTTATTATCAATGTAAAAATGCTGATAACATTTATGAAACCATAATAATTGTTATCAGTGAAGGACACGTTAAAGTACAAAAGATAGTTGAATTAAAACATTCTGGTGGCTCTTGAGGACATAAATATTTGTCTTTCTTGAAAAAGCCACTGTAAGCGTGGGCTGGTTGTAACCCTTGATCCTTTCCTCCTTTATTTAGGACATTGACCAGATACAGTAAAACATAACCTGTATATTTGAACACCTGGCTAATATGAACATCTCCCTATCTGAACACATTTACTCGGTCCTTTTTCCTCCCTTTGACTCCGTTAATAAAACCTTAAAATGTGAACAACTCCCAATTTGACCAGTGAATCATATTTGTAAAATTAACAATGATGTTCAGATTAGACAGGTTCTACTGTATTGTGTCACTATAAAGTATTTGCTCCACTGTTTATGTTTTCACACAATATAACCCTTCTTAATATTTTGATTTAGTTTTCCTTGGTATAGAGAGTTTCATCCTCATATACATTTTGTACTCTTTTAGGCCCTGACCGTCACACATTGTGCCTCTGTATTTCTTCTAGGCATAGTTTCAACTCCATGGACAAGTCTGTTCGCCCATCATATTTACCATTGCCCTCTCTTGCATCATAGATCGCCATGAAATTTGGTTTAGGGCACTTTTGATTTAGAATTGGTGTAATCGACGGGCGAATCAAATTCGTTTAACCTCTTGAATACCCAGAGTGACAGATATATCCGTCACAAATGAAATAAGACTGGTGCCCAGAGGGACGAGAAAATCCGTCACAAAATTTGTCACAAAAATTGCTCTCATTTGAACAATTTTCATCCAATTTACACAAAAATTGTTTTAAAACGTGTAGAAATGATCTCTGCCGTCCAATTTTACTAAGCTGAGCATCTAAAGTTGTATAGGTATGTAATAAAATGTCAAAAGGTGGCAAAAAATGAAAAATTCTCTGGTTTCATGCCAATTTTAGAGCCTGGGATTCAAGAGGTTAAATATGATTTTAATGTCACATCTCAAAAGGAATTCTCAACGAACTGAACTACAGCAACACTGTAATAAACAATTTCTGATCGCAAAGCAAAAGGTCTTTGCATTTTTATAAAAGAACTTCAACTTTTAAATCCTATGTATATCAGAATGCTATTCGCCTGTATTATTAAGTAAAGCACAACCATAAGATCATTGGGTTTAAAAAAACAATAGTTATGATTTCTTCAACAGGGGGTTTGATTTAAAATGATCGATTTAATGCACTGCAGAATATATATCTGAAGAATTTTCATTCAGTTAATTTTATAAACCAAACAGATTCAACAATCAAAAGTGATGAATGGGCTGTTAAGAAATCGAATCTACAGAAAAGAAATAATCTAGCTAGGTACTTGCATTTGTTAAGAACAAGGATATCTGGGATTGATAAAAAACTACATCACTAAAACAAGGAAAATCTATATCTGATTATGTAATTATGGAGTAACAAGCAGACTTTCTTAACAGGACATCAATTGTAATATCAGGTTATGTCAGACAAATATCCTCGTTACATCACGTTTTAGACAAATTAGAAATAAATTTCAGGTAATTCAATATTGTTGAGAAACTGGAAGAAGTTTGGAAAATTGGAAATCAAGAATGAAAACATCAATTTAGATTCTTTTTAAATCTGCATTTCATGGTTAAATTAACGTCCAACCAGATTTAGTAAAAGAAGACAATGCACTTGATATTTTCTGAGGTTATGGACCCATTTTCTCATACTTTGTTTTGATCTAGAAATAACATTTCTAGGTGTATTCCTTTCAAAAATGTGAATTTAGACTCCTATAAAGGATATTGCATGCTTAAGATCATCTAAAAATGCAATACACACCAGTCACACTATACTAATCCTGACCATACATACATGTATATGGATGCTGCTATTAAGCTTCAGAATTCATTTTAAACCCCTCAACTGAAATCTGAATCACAATTTACAGTTACTAATCAAGAGATAATTTGAATTATTGCTCATCGTCAATTATACATGATGCTAAAAAAGTGATAATTGTATTTTTTATTGTCTATTGGAAATAGGGTCTTTGTTGCCGTAGTGATAATTGACCAACTAGTTGATTCACTGTTATTGTTCTGATGTAAAACCTCGAGTCGAAGATTTAATAGGTGTTAGATTTTTTAGTGTTAGAATCTTATTTGAGAAGAAAGAGTGTTATGTATAAGATACAATTATTTAGTATGATAACACTCCATTTCTCAATGAATATCTTTCATAAGACGTGAGAACTCAATTCTTGTACTGAATACAAATTGGGAAAAAGATTTCAATATTTCTCTAGAAATACTTCAGTAATTCAGTATTCCCCCCCCCATTCTGGTATGCCAGAGTCCCTTTTATCTTCTGTTTGCGAGAAGGAAGAAAGGATAAAGATATGATAAAGAAAGACAAAGGGGGTGCGGCTATATCACGATATGTTCCCCCTTAGTTCACAAATCATCAGTTTCTAAAAAGAAGGGGTCTGTTAATTCACAATGCAAACTGCCTCTTAGAAATGTTTCATCTTGATGCACCCATCCATCTGATGGTATTAAAAACTTTAAGCCAAGGTCACGATGCAAATTGTACTATTGGATAGGAGAGATCCCTCCGTTAGAAATATTCACTGCAAAGTGAATTTCTACTCACACTTTTCAGAATTCAGGTTATACACATTCAAAGGTTTGTCGAGACTCACCATTTGGGAAGGGGTAGGGATTTCAACAAAATAGAAATTGTTCTGTCAAAGTCCCTACCCTTTGAGCAACCTAGTGAGTCAATTTCCTCACCCTCCCTGGGAGCAATAGCTTGATAAAAATAGTCCAAATATCAATTACAGGGTATGCATTTCAAAAGTCCTTACTCCTGGGATGAAGTACATGTCTAAATTCCCATGGGACAATATTACATATTGTGTTGAATTCCTGACCCTCCCTGCATAAGGGGGGGGGGGGGGGGTGAGTCTCATTCAAACCTTTTGAAATGTACACTACTCACACATTACAATTTAGTTACGGACACATTTCAAAAATTTACTTTCTATTTTCTACATCGCAGCAGAATGGCAACAAACTTTCCAATTTAAGAAAATTGTACAAACTTTTTATGCAGAAACTTTGATGAATTCGTTATTTCCTAGGATATATCAGTCTATCGGAGCATTGTCTTAAAGTTTTTATCAAAATTCTTGTATAAATGTCATTAGTGTCTTGAAGAAAATAGAGCAGGCTTTTGATTTTTTCATGCAGTATTCTGTGCAGAATTTTGAATTTCTCATATATTAAAAATCTTGGTGCATCCTTGCTTGACTTGAAACCCTTAGGTAGGCCACTGAGAGTTACTTTGCTACTGTAATATGCAAGTGAGATTCGGATCAGCTGAGCAAATTCATCTATCTCTATGCTTTCATAAGAAATGATATTGATTTTCAATTGGCCTGCACTTATTAGATGTAGCAGATCGCCATGTGTTCGTATCTGACCTTGAGACTATGGGTTGTTATTTCATCTAGACAGTTGCATAGGTCTAGGATGAGTAGTTGTAGGTCTTATTCCATGATCACTCCATTATAAATCAGTGTACATCTGTCATGGTGCTGATATGTGGTAGTTGATGTGTTGATGATATATGATTGTCAAGATGTTGATGTATGGCCAGGCAAGATGTTGATATATGATAGTCAAGATGTTCATGTATGATTATCAAGATGTTGATATATGATAGTCAAGATGTTCATGTAAGGTAATCAAGATGTTGATATTGATAGTCAAGATGTTGATATATTGATAGTCAAGATGTTGATGTATGATAGTCAAGATGTTCATGTATGATAATCAAGATGTTGATATATGATAATCAAGATGTTGATATATTGATAGTCAAGATGTTGATGTATG